TTATATTACATCCCTCTAATTGATGTGGAAAATTTTTACTATTTTTGAAACTTTTATTGAATTATAATTTATATTCTTTTTCATAAATAATTTTAAATATTCAAAAATTAGTATTTTCTAGTTTTATAAATTTTAAATTTGCGTGATTTACAATACAACGACTAAGTCACGTTAGAGAGTATGAGTCTATATATAGTTTCAGTATTTCATCATTAAAAACACATCATTAATGACTCATAAATTTTTCTTCATTTTAAATGATCTTTTGAGTTGTATGTTGTTCTATAAATTTCAAATAAAGGCTATTCAATGATAAAGATTCTTTTATTGTAAATTTTATATGCCTTTTATTTTCAAAGTATCCAAAAAAGTTACTTCATCACTTTTGAATAAACATTTATTATTTAATAACCTATTCAATACCTTTCTTGACCATGAAGGTTATTTCATTGCCTTCATCATATGATTCTAGTGGTTTGAATCCAATGTTCATAACATTCTTTTTAAGAGATTATTTATTTCTATACATGTTAACTTTATAAGTTAGTAAAGAACTAATAATATCATCAGCTAGAATAACTGTTAAAGTATTTTTTTTCTTTAATTGTGATTACCTTAACTTTTTAATCATCAACTAAGGATCTAATAACTTACTTTTTAACATTCATGCAGGCAAGGCAAGCATTGTACATAAATTGGTTGACAATACTCATAGCATAAGATATGTCAATATGAACATGTAAAAGATATATCAGCCATCCCATGAGTCATTGATATTGTAGTTTATCAACTTTTTCTCATATTTCATGTGATAAGTGATGATTTTGATTTATAAGATTGTCAACTAGTCTACAACCCAACATACTAGTTTTCATAAGTTATAAATGATAGCTTCTTTGAATGAGAAAAATACTTTTAAGAGATCATAAAACTTCAATTTTCACAAAATATCTCATTTGACTAAGGTCTTTCATTTCAGTGATGACTCAATTAAATATTCAACTGATCAATTTCTCTAATATCATCTCTAATTGTTATAATATCATCAATATAAACCATTAAAATTGTGATTATTGTTAATGTCCTTAGTTTTGATAATTACAAGTGAAAATTGTGGTTTGGAAGAAGAAAACTGCATACTTATTTTGCCTTTCATTTCTCGCTCTCTGGAGCTTCGATGGGTTAGTAATATCAGTTCCAACGCACTAGGCCTTGTTGTACGCAATATTTTCCTTGCTCTTCTGAGAAAATGTGTTCGTCATTAGTTGCACCTCTGTTGATGGCAAATATCTTCGCGTCAGGGTTATCTCCACTTCTCAGCGTGCCGGGGATCGGTCGACCGCACAGCAGCTCCCACGCTCTCTGTAACCGCGTGCGTACAAGAAAGACTCCAACAGTGCCGTGTCGCCGGCTCCTCGACAGACCACTAAGCTCTACGTGCCTTCCTCTTTCTATCCCTCTCCCCCTCTCCCTCCCCTCCTAGCTGGGATGCACAGACGTTTGCCGCTGGGTTACTTAGTGCCTGTCGTCAGGGGAAATAAGTCCCGTACGCCACTACCGCAAGAGATGACGACTTTGCAACTCGTGTCGCTGAGCAAATGCAGGCGAGTCGGTTCCGAAGCTGAGAGAGGAATGGATGGGTTTTTCATCTCATTCATGAATATCCCTGAGGCTACCTATTTCCTTTCTTCTTCCTCCTCTTCCTATCGTTCGTCCTCCGGACAGCAACGCCTCCTCCGCGAATCTCATCCAACAATCCCGCCACTGCTCTCGCCCCGTAGTTTACGTCCTCTCCCTCCGTCCTTTCCAACAAGATATATCTTGATATCAAACCAAAACAAAGCTGATGTACAAGAAGCGATCGCATGAAATCCATTTTCAGGCCATCCCTTAGAAAATAACAAAAGAATATGGAAAACTTTGTAGTTTTGAACCACACCGGTAAGGCATTCATGATTTTCAGTGTTCAGAAAAAATTTCAGAAATTAGAAATTCAAGTCAATCCCCTACCATATCAGTCACACAGCCTCACCTCGAAAAGAAAACACTCAAGATTACAGCATCATGAACACTCAAGAAAGCCCTACCATAAACTATTTCCGGTAGATGAAGAGGACAAAGTTGCAGGTTTTTTTGGCAAGAGAAGTGAGCACATTACCCAGATAATAGATGATAAATTATGTCCGGACATAATGGCAACGTGATTTCATGAGCAAAGCAAGATTACGAAACATGAATTCAAGTGTATGCATTCCACCTAGAAAAAAATCACAGAAAAATATTGAAACAAGACAAGACAGGAAATACGCCTACTCTTTTTCTCAAAAGTTAAGATCAAAATTAATCCAATGCAACAAAAAAGAAAGATTTTAATTCAGCTATGTTGGCTCCCTATGGATAACTGAAGTGATCTTCAAGAGACACAACTGATTATGTCTTAGCTCTCTTGGTCTGCTCTCCAAAGGTCTTTCCTTTAGGTTTTTTATTACCTATGAATAGTTGAACAATTCAATACCAAGCAATAGCTCACCTCTACTAGATTCATGACTCTAAGAGTATGCATGCCCAAAACACCCACTTCTAAATTAATGATTATATCCAACTAAATATTAGTAATATGGTTCTAGCTTACTGTCCTAGATTCATCACTCTAGAAAAATAATACCTTGTAACACTTCATGATAATGATAGCCTTTTCCACTATGAATCAAATGGTTTTGTGGAGGATTAAATTAAACTTTATTGGTGTTGATTTTACAACTTGGTTACATTGTAGTGTGTTGGAGGTTTTTACTAGAGGTTTTGGTATACATGGTTTTGTGAGACGAGATTTTATAAAATCTTGTCTCACAAGTTCAGCACCTTGAAATATTTTTAATGGAGGTTTAGCTTGAAACCATTATCTACACATACTCAATGGCTACATCATGACACTATAATACTTAACTTTATAGTTTTTCTTGTAGTTAATGCTTCATATGTTGTGAGTGGACTCATCCTCCTAAAAACTTATTAAAAAAGGAGCAAAAGTATTATTGTTCAACCTTAACATTAGAAAATATCATCATAAAAATATTACTACATACTTATATGATATTGTTGAGTGACTATTCTACCCTTTCTCTATACTATTTCATCAACAAAACATTATTTATGCAAAGCCGACATAAAGCTCAGAAGATGATAAAGAGAAAAAACACACTAAAGTTTAAATGCTAGAACCAAAATTATTCACAAATGGGATAAGAGATGTGAACAATTCATTTAACTTTTATAGTAATTCTATTGAGCCTACATTCCTTATACCAAGAATGTCAATTCATTTGCTTTTTACTAGTCTTTTTTCTAAAAAGTACACATTGATTGTAATAGGTTAAGCTCAACAAGATAGATTCGTCACTTTAGTGCTCAAGAAATCACTAACTACTCTTGGCACTAGCCATCATTTAGAATCTGAGGCTTTTACCAAAACAAATCACAAACTGCTCACAAGATTACCAACCAAATAGAGCTCAAAATTTTATAAAACCAATACATGTTAAGAATTACAAGAGCTATCAAACACAGGTTTTATTGGATGTCTCTATTATAATCAGACACTTAACTTAATATAAGTATAAATTCAGTTACTTTTCTTATAAAATACATAATGATAACTAAGTTAAACCTTTTTTTAAGAGATAACATTGCCTAGTGCCTATTAACATTGTTACAACACTCTGAAACTAATTATCAATCATTCACCAATGTAATAACTAAAAGCATTGACTAAATAATGGAAGATGCCTAATATTTTATAGAGTAACAGGAGAATGGCAAGGTGGCATGGGAATGGCATGGGAATGGAAATTCCTATGGTCAAGTTCTCTTTAAGATATCATGTCAAAGCTATTTCATTTTCATTCAATTGTATTAAATTCATATAAAATATACAAAATTAATTAAATGTGAATCTTTTTTTGTAATGTCAGGAATCAAGAGCTTTCATGATAAATTCAAGCCATTTTTAAACTTTGTTAAATATTGTTTGTTAAAAAAGGTTCACTAAAATCGAGACAAACTCTAAGATCATAAAGGTTAATCTTGTACAATTTTAGCTCTAAAACTTTAAAACTAGAACAACACACCTATAAAATAATATGACATAAATATTTACTGTACTCAATCATCATTAAATGTTTATTTTAAATATTTAATGCATCTTTATTTGTCACCAGCAACATTATGTATTTGTGCAACTTAAAAACTTTTAAAAATATTGTGAAAGCTTGAAGATGTGAATTAAGAAATTAATTTCAAGTTTTAATCTTATAAAGAGTTTCAATGATGCTCGATGAATTTGCAGCTCTTAAATTTTAGGCTTCTGGATAATGTGATTATCATTTAGCAATAGATGTTCCTATGATACTATAAAATGTGTGAGAGGGCAAGTTGGCTATAACAGTTGTCTCTTATATTTTTCGTTAGAGGCTAGGACTTTCTTCATTGTATCTCTACAGATAATTAATTTTTATTATTTTAAAACATCTGAAAATTTTAAAAAAGTACAACATAAGATCTCATATTCTTGTGACACTTTTCTAAAATTAAATGCAAAATATTATCACCACCTAGGCTTTAAAAGATTGATATTAAGATGATAAAATGAGTAACTCCCACCAAGATTATTTTTTTCGACATCAAAAAAAATTAAAAAATAGTTCAGGCAGGTTTTTTTTGTTAAAGTAGTTAACCGATATTGTAGTTTTACACAATATGATGAATTTAGTGAAATGTGGTTCTATATTTGGATACTTGTACAATTTCATATTTTATCCTCGCTTTTAATTAATAACATCCAATTAAACAGGTTACAAATGAAATTATGATGATGGCCAATTTTGTTTTTTTCGGGTGTAACGGTAGGGTTTCGTTGCGCTTTGTAGACGCCGACCAGCTCGAGCTTTAGGGGGCCGTGTGAAGAGTTCAAAGGAGAAATCGCGGGATCATTCGGGGGAGCGATGGAGAAGGAAGAGGTCGAGGTGAGGGAAGGAGGGACAGAGCACGACGGGCAGGGCAACGGCCTCCCACCGTGGGAGCAGCATGCGTCGGTGATCAGTCTTCCTCGTTTCGACTACCGGACACCTTCTCTGCTCCTCGAGTGCTCTCATTCTGGATTCCTCATCACTTGCCCCATCAGTGAGATTCCCTTTCATCTCTCTTTTATCATATCGTCATCGTACTGCGCGGATGTGTGGATAGGCTGGTCTGTTGTTTTCATTAAGTAGACCTGAATCCGTATTAAACAGTGGATTCTCTGATCTTGGATGATATATGAGCTCTGCTATTCACGAACGATTAGCGGCTTGGATGGATATCTTGATCTGGGTTTCATTTCCGTCCTCTTTTTCGATGCGGATTAGCTGAGGAACGCAAACCTCGAGCTAAAGCTTGGCTCACAGAAGTAAGAATCAGTAAATGCGAATTGATCTTTAAAGCGGAAATAAGAATCCAGAAATGCGAATTAATCTTTTTTGCGGATCCGCGCACAAACACTCCTCATTACAGCTATTTGTACTCTGTATTGGCAAAATCTCAATCGTCTCTTGTCTATCATCATCTGATTTATGGATATCCATTTTTTTGATCTTCTGTCAGAGAGGGAGAAAAGTGCGACGAAAGAAGCCATTTCTATCCTCGAGAAGGTTGATGTCTGTACCGCATCATGCTGCTATTTTTTTTTGTCAGCGTACTTAATATTTCACCATTGAAGGGATTGCTCTGGCTTGTAGATTACTCCCATCTTTTATATATATATATATATATAAATTGAATGGTCTTAGTGAAGCTTCGATAACATTTAGAGGATAATGGTGAGACTACAAGGGCTGAGTGAACAGGTGTATTATCTGCGTATACTGTTCAAGCTGTGGTACCTGAATAAATATGTACTAGTAGGTATAGATATTAGTGATTATCTAGGAGAAGAATCTAGTCTATATGGAGAAAAAAAATTGGATAGAAAATATTTTGATTGTAAAATTCTCCGGTTTTGTTTTAGAAAAACATTCAGTTGAACGACCATGGATTTGATCGTTTCTGTAGCCCTTTCCCTTTATCTGGTCGAGTAAAGTGTTCTATTCGCATAATTCTTCTTGGTAAGTTGATTTATCAGTCTTTAAGTTGGTTTTACTTCAATTTGACCATCTATTAATTTTTAACAGATTATTAACCATATTCCATGGCTGTATACTTTGCTCTGCTCTGACTTGACTGGCGGGATAAATGAATTCACTTCTCATAATTTTTAGCTTGAGTCTTTGTAGCATTCAAAGTGCATAGGATCCACGTGACTCGGGTTTCCTCCTGAAGTGTCTGTAGAGTTTATCTTATCCTGATTCATGGTGTAGCCTTGTATTTTGATAAATCTCTCACTCATGACCAGAATGGCTGTTAGTCTGTTCTTTATATTGCAAGCAAAAGCAGTGAGGCCGTTTTCATACAAGACTTAGATGTGTAACTAACTTCGCATCATTTGATTCAAGACTTTTCTAATGCATTGTCGCCTTGGTATGTAAAACATATCACGCATTGTAAAAAAAAAAGGGATTTTCTAATTCAAAACACTCAGCTGTCGTGTACTCTCCCTACTGAAACCGTTGTCCATAGAAATATTTTTTTAGAACCCTAGAAATGCTAAGAGCGTTCGAAGTATTTAATCTCATTATTTGATATTATTCTTGAAGTCCATCCGACATATTTAATCTCATTATTTAACCCTAGAAATGCTAACCGTCATACCAAGCCCATCCGAAGAAAAGAACATTATTTGATATTATTCTTGAAGTATTTAAATATATTAATCTCATTATTAATGGCTGAGAAAAATAACATTACGTCACCCCTCCTCTCTTTCTTCTCGTGTTACCCTGCATTAGGATCGAATGGTTTGTCACCTGATTTTGGTTGTGGCTCTATAAAACGAGTGATGTATAAACTAATTGTGAAGCAAATTAGTTTGCCATCGGACCACTTTAACTGTGGTCTGTAGTCGATCACTAATCGTTCCAAAGACAAAATATTTCACCATATTTTAATCCACTGCTTTATCTTTTGGGCATCATTCTAGCCCATTGTGCTCCTGTACATCTTAATTGCTGGTATCTATGTGTTTCTTCTGCAGCTGTGTTCTTGTGCATCTCAAAGTATGGACCCTGAATCTAATGTCGCCACAAAGAAAAGGAAAATTGAAGAAAAGGATGGTGATGGTGGACTCAGCTCACCGAAAAAGGGTCTCGAAATTACAAATGCGTGCAGTGGTATGTGCTCTAGTTAACAAGGAACTGAGACTATGCTTTTTTAGTGCATTGAGAAGACCATTTCCCGCTGTACTCATTTGTCAGTTTGTTTTGGGTTAGATGGCACCATAACTTCAGCATAGTGTTAAAAATCGATAATTGATCCTGGACTGCTCGTGCCCTTTTCATACTGCACTGTACAAATCTGCTTACATGTGAGGAGCATGTGAAAATAGTCCCACATCGATTGTTTGAGTAGAAAATTTATTGGGTGGAATGACCCAATCACTTCTACACTTTCCTCTTGCTATCTTTTCCACAAGTTAATTTTTATATCTGCTTCAGTTATTGGCATGTGATACCATCTAGTTAAAGCATGTACTCGCAGGTCAGATTTCCGAAGAGACAGATGCATCAAATCTGCAGAGTGGTGAAATGCAGGCAAAGCAGTCCAATCTTTCGTTGGTTAAGCTAGCAAGAAGTGGATTAATCCTGTTGACTTTCACTTCGGATAGGTTTATTTCTACCGTCGATGTTGTATCAAGCATCTTTCACTCCTTGGGATGTGGAGATTTGAAATCACCTCTGTAAGTTGCATCCATATTATCAGCCCTGTGATCATATTGTAATGTCTACGAATATCATACTTTTTTGGCCATGTACATGGGTCATTACCCATATCCACTCTGTTCCTTTACTACCTATTTCATGCATACAATATCCATCTTTCTTGCCCAACTTGTGCATGTTCTAAAGACCCACCCAATTGAGCTAACAGAGAACCCACCACCATGCATCAAACCAGTCAATCTACGTGATCAAGGTGAGACCTGTAAGCGTGGAAAGTTGGCCCAGCTCCGGTACAATCGATCTCTAGCTTTGCTTGCCAAAACCAGAACACGCTGATTTTAGCGAATCAGATAACCTGATTTTAGCCCAAAAGGGAATCCTCATGCTTCTCTTTCCAGTAGTCTCTTAGCGGATCGTATGCAGTTGACCCTAGTCTCTTCTTCCCAAAACAGCATCTTTTGCTTGTGCCTGAGTTCGTTGGTTACCATCTTAGGGATGGACGATTGCCTTGGCTAACCATGGCAGTTGCCGTGCAGCTGGTGCCATCGTATTTTTCCAATTCAAGGAACCTGCACTTTGAAAGAGAAGGACCTCAGCATAGCAGTGACAAACCTCTTCCAGCACTACCTTGCCAAGGAAGGGGCCAAACTTGAGAAACCCATCAAGGTATGGTTTTTTTGCTCGTGGTCTTCGCGTCAGTAGTCATTTCTGTACCTCATTACTGATCTCAAACCAATGAAAGGGAAGGGTGGGAAGAGGGAGGAGACTAGACAGAGGATGGAGAAAAATAGGCAGGGAATGCGGAGAGCCCGCTGTCATTAAGCCTAGAAGAGAAGAAGGCGCCCCTTAGTGAGAGTTTACTCTGTTCTGGGTAAAAAAGTTCAGCCTGCCGCGGAAAAAAGATTTCCTCTCTTGGAATCATTCTTGAGCAAGTCAAGCTTTCTTTACCCTCTCTGGTGTGGGTGTTGATGGGTCGGGGCCCTGCTCAAGCTATGCTGAACCAGCCTGAGTTGCAGTGTCTTTGGTGGAACCCTAACTGGCACGGCCTCAGAGGAAATAGGTCGAGAAAAATAAACCCCCTAAGTGAGAGTTTTGCCACCGGATCTCTTAAGAATTCTGGAGTTAAAGCGTGTTTGGGCTGGAGCAATGGCAGGATAGGTGACCACTTTGACCCCTAGTTTGCAGTTGGGTACAACAGGAGAGGCCTGGATCAACCAGTGTTCAAGGAACCGGCCTTACTACTAGACCGCGACCAGTGCTTCTCCGTCGTTGCCAAAGCTGTCAAGGATCTCGCTCCCGATGCCGTCGTCGATCTCAACTCGCCCGAGGTTAAAATCACTACCCTCCGTCTCTCTCTATCTATCTCTATCTCTCTCTTCCCCCCTCTTTCGTCATCTTCGGCCTTTCCTTTGTCTCGGAAGCCATCCCTCATTTGTGACTACACACCCCCATGGTCTTGCAGCTGGTTGTGCTCGTAGAAGCTCTACCGGTGTCCGGGCTGCCCCCCCGGTCGGCGGTGGCCGGTGTCTCCATACTCCCCCGCAGTCTCATCACCGCCAAGCCACGGCTCTCCGTCAGGGCCCTGATTGCGGACGGCAACTCCAGGAAGAAGAAGAGCTGATCCTCCGCCAAGAAGTAGGCCGCTGTATTCTTCCGATTCTAAAGGTCAGTTCCCCGCCATGGTCACGAACAGATTGAAGGATTTCGCATTGCGCGCAATGGTGACCATCTGAGATTCTGGCACACAAGGCCTTCAATTCTTCTGGTGGGAACCATCACTGCAATATGGATGGGATACCCTCGTCTAAGTATAAGACTTTCTTCTTTCTATGAAAACATGGGAAGAAACTGTGTCCAACTAATTGGACTGTAACCACCGGATGCGTACCAAAAAGTTGTGAATTTGAAAGCTCGCCAGAATTATAGTAATTTGTTTGTATCAGTGGGTACGATATTCAGGCATAATGCTTTTCCCGATCATTGGCGGGCGCTTCGGGAAATTTCAGTCGTGTTCAAATCCATTTTATAGTTTGATTAATCATTACTCTCAGTTTGAGACAGGAACTCCATTGAAAGTACCAAATCTAGGTCTTAGCGGTTTAATATTGAAGCGATCATTTAAATCGAAAAATAATAACGAAATTTGGCGAGATGTTCATACGGAAGATTGAAATCCCCGGAGACAATACACTAAAGAGTTAAAGATACGAACTAGGTCAGCAAAGAAGTCGGCATTGCGGGCGGTTATTGCAGTTGACGCGGATCAGAGTCCTGGCTTGGATTTTCAAGTCCTCCATGGAGAAAATGAAAAAACTATGTAGCGCATTATAATCAGCGTCGATCATTTGGGGAAAGGATCATCACATCCGCGTTTATGCAGCCAAATGGTGTCTACATGCCATAAGAAAACTTGATACAAAAAAAATTGAGGCATGAACAGAAACTCGGAAGATGTATCAGGAGAACGATCGGGTGACGATCAATGCGGATCAGAGTCCTGGCTTGGATTTCCACGAACTCAAAGAGAACATGGAAAAACTATGTAGCGCATTATAATCAGCGTCGATCAGTTGGGGAAAGGATCGTCACATCCGCATACAATCAGACCAATCACCTCTCCAGACGAAACACCACAGAAAAATGAAGAAAAAATAGTAAAACACAATGGAATCGAATACGGCGATTTGAAGAAAATCGCCGTGCTCAAAAAACCGAGGTATCACGATCAACACGAGAAGAGATTCATCCAATTCATTCGCAGAAGAGAATAGGAGGAAGACTGTTTCTACTAAAAGCCTTTCCCCACCGGGAATACGCGGACGATTTTCAGCAGCAAGGAGAACCTGCTACCAGGAAACTACGAAGGGATCTACACGCCAAGCAATTGCAGAGAGAGGCGCGGCCAGCACCCACCACAAAAACCCTAAACGGCGACTTAAAGAAGTATCCTCTCGAACGCTTGTGCGGGTATAAATAGCGGCAGAGACCGTACGGCAGCCCGAAGTTGCAAAACATCAACGGTCCTTGATGTGACACGTCGGCATATTCATTTATGGCCACGCTGGAATAAAGATTATGACGCTATGAAATATTTTCGTTCCGCGTAAGACTGAAGCCACACGTGTGATATGAGCCTTGTATTGCGTGCGCTTCAAGCAACACGTGCGATCCCCGGCGGACTGACGAGCAAGAAATAGGCGGACTGATGGGAAGAGAGAAGCCGGGGCCGGCAGGAGCTGAGAGAACGGAAGATTCACTGGAGAGCGAGCGTTGAGGATGCAGATTTTCGTGAAAACCCTCACGGGGAAGACGATCACCCTCAAGGTGGAGAGCAGCGACACCATAGACAATGTCAAGGCCAAGATTCAGGTTCATTTCCTGTCATTTGTCAATTGTCATCAGATTCTGCTGGTGCTTATTCGTAAACTAGTGATTTCTACCTCCTCTGCCTCTTTTAAAAAACTGAGGAAGCGTCCCGATTGGCAAAGGAGCTAGATGGCTGCTGTATGTATATGTGTGGCAACTCTTTGACTATTCACACTCCGTTAGTCTGATTGCTTCCTTGGCTGGATGCGCGCCGTAGTGAGAGAGATGAGGTTATTGATTCTGTTCCGTTGTGTTAGGATTTTCGGTGTTTATATTATCTGTTTGCAGCTTTTGGATTCTCTGCCGGTGCTATTGATCCTGTACTCTGTACATGTTTTTTGTCCGATTACATTTTAGGGGTCAAAAGAAGGAAAACGTCCTGGAGTTCTATTTATGTACAATCCACTTTTTATTATTCGGCAGAAATTATACGTTATCATTGCATGTTGCCAGTCGGACTGCTGAGTTGACGATTGCCGTTGGATTCGTTGGGATGCACAATGACGGTCGAGAGTACTGGTTATGAGATACTAGGACGATCCTGTTGTGATATGAGGACGTTTCTTAACCTCCTTTTGTTAAAAAATTGAGATTCATTAAAAAGCGAAAGCCGAATGGAACATGACATCAGTTGGGCTCGTTCTTTCATTTTGTGTCACTTATTGCTCTAAAGTTGTTGACCTCTTTACGGCGAAAAGTTTGTTTTTATCTCTTCATCATGTTCTAATTTCAAATTATATTATGTTTCTGAAACGGTAAAGGAGAATCGGATGGATTAGATTGGAAAATAGTATGAAAATTTGTTCCAATTCTTATCTCGGACCTTAATAGCTATTTCACTGAAACCATTCAATTTGAGTTGGAAATTGAGGAAGATCTCTTTTGTTTGTCTGAAGCATTAGTGGCAAAGGAAATTGTGTGTGTCCTTGTTCGCAGGTGACCATCACTAGTGCTGAATGAGGATATTGTAGTTCTCTCAGCATAATCCTCCTCGCCTGATGTTGGCAGATATTGTTGGAAATTCTTGATTGTTATTTTAGTTTAGGATCTAATCTATGACTGGAAGTCAGCTCTCTCTAGGGTTCATCTCTTTCAGGAGGTTTAAATTCAGAATCTCGTCTTCAAAATTTTCTTCAAAACGGAAGATAGATGGATATTTTGTGTTGCTTTTGAGAGGGTTCTATCTTGAACTCTTAACTGTAGGAAAGTTCAGGTAAGGAGTGGATAGATGCAGACTTTAACTGGGATCAGGATGAGGCGACTTTGAATCGTCAGTGTACAGAAAAATGGGTCTGACATCACAGAGTGGGCAAAGAATATTCAAATTTAGAGATACCTTTCGATTCGGAGCATTTTCTCCCAAGACATGCTTCGATATTTATGGGATCCGTCTTTGATGATTTTCATGTGTTGTCCAAGTTTTGGAATCCAAATCAAGTACAGGATCATTCCCACATGCAAACTGGCGCCATATTGCCCTGAGTTCAAGAAATTAATTAAGGGATGGTGGATCTCAGAGCATCTTTCTGAGCATCACCATCTTTTGGAATTCAGGGAATGTGAGGAACAGAGAGATGATGAATATAACCTTCGAAGGAAGTGTAGAAGGAGATAAATCATGAATGGATCTTTTACCATCAGTAGAGTTGGTTATTGTCAGAGAATAATCTCATATATAAAAAATCCTGCGGTAAAAATATAAATGCCTACTCTATTTATTGCTAATTGGTTTTGCATTGGGTATGCCTATCCTTTCACTCTGATACATAAAGATGAAAGTACCGGAAAAAGATATTTTTTTCTCATCAGGCCAAAATGTAATTACTTTATGACGTTGTTAGGTGTTGGTTCATTTTTATATAAATCCCCATCTTCAGGCTGGGGTCCTGAAATTATTGTAGCAATAATTGTTGTCCATATGCCAATTAAGAAATCATGTTCGGAACAGGAGGATAATCCTAAAAAACAATTACTGGTATTTGGTGTTGTGTTGAAGGATGAGTTGATCGGAAATATAAGCCACTTTTTATGTTCCAGACGTATGTGTTCAAAGAGTGTGTCATGCCAGCAAATCTGGAAGCTGTTTGAATTGGGCATTATGGCTCCATTGTTTTGGATACTATTTGTGGTAACTTGGCTTTGTTTATCTTCAGAGGCTGACAACAGGTAGCTTAGCAGGTAGCTTGGCACCAACCGTCATTTCTAGAAACTACTTGATCTTAGAATTGTCAACTATAAAAAATTAGAAAATTTAGAAAATTTGAGAAATTATGAATTCTATTCGGATTTTTGTAAAGCTTATATTATAGTTATCTGGGAGCTTGTTACGATTGCAGGAGGGTTAGATTTACCAATTGAGGCGATTATATGATTGAATGTTATTGAGTGTCCTCAAATAATATCGTACGTTACGCGGCAGATCAACCTGCTCTACAGGGCTGGCATGGCCTATCCATCTAGTATGGCCATTGACTGATTAAAGGACTCTTCCATGCACAGAATTGAAATAGTGCAGAGAGTAAGGCTTATTCTATGCAGTATGTAGGTGAACCATTGCTGCACGTAGAGTTCATGTCCTTTTGCTATGCATTTTCCCATGTGGTTCTTTATGTTGGCTCATTGCTTGCATGATATTTCTTGACCTCCGTTACAGAAACCAATTCGGACAGAAGTGACCAATGAGTGGAAACTTTTCAGAAGAGCCTGCAGATGTTTTCGATATAGAGCTGGCGAGTCATATATTTCTTATGAAGAGATCCAGAAGAGTGGCCGGCACATTATTCTTGTAAAACTTGATAAAGTACGTAAGTTTTGAAAGCTAAGAATACCAATTTGATTTGAAGATTGATGTTGAGTGTTGCCATTTTTAGCAGTCCCGTCTAGGTCATCTCCCTCTGTGTTATTAATAGCTGAAGTTAAAGGCTGGCATTGAGGGGAGAAGTGAAAGGGATGCAGGTGGATGGCCGTTTCTGATGTGATGTTGAACGGTGTGTGTGCATAAGCACCAGGGATGCTTTAAATTGAAGAATTCGAACAACTCAAGTATGCGTTCATTGGCCAATAGCATGGAGATGGAGACGTCTGTTTGCCAAAAACACCCGGTAGTACCACTCCCTCAGTAAGGCACCTTCATTAACGACAAGATGATCACAGATAAAAGGTGAATGGAGAGATCTGGCGTTTTGTCGAAGATACCGGTTCATCAAAGATAAGGCTGAGAGAGTTAGGTCCCTTGAAGTATGCAGAGTTGCACCAACAAGCATGAAAACATTAGGAATTGCTAATTATACACGTTGTGGCACCTGAGATGATGCTTTGAAGATGATCCTATGAAGCAAGTGGCATGTTCATATGAAGCGAGGTTGGCTTTGAATCAGGGAGATTCTTCTTGTCACCGAAGCTCCTTTATTAATTTTTGTCTTGCTCATTTTATTCTCGGGTTATTTTTTTTGGCCGTATGAAATCAGAGAGTGGGCTTTTTATTTTGCGCGGCTTCCGGGCTTTTAGGAGACCAGCCATCCCTTTTTGGTGCTGAGAGTTGACCTCCTGTATCTATATTTGCTAGTGGTTTTTAGGGTTTCAGATAGAATTGAACGCCTCTTATTTCCACTCTGTGAATGATCAGGACAAGGAGTGCATCCCTCCAGACCAGCAGAGATTGATATTTGCCGGGAAACAGCTCGAAGACGACCGTACACTTGCAGACTACAACATTCAGAAGGAGTCGACCCTCCACCTGGTCTTAAGGCTGAGGGGAGGGATGATGATCAAGGTGAAAACTCTCACTGGAAAGGAGATCGAAATCGACATCGAGCCAACAGATACCATCGATAGGATCAAAGAAAGGGTCGAGGAGAAGGAAGGGATCCCTCCAGTTCAACAGAGGTGCAGTCTCACTCCCTCCTCCCAACCTCATCCTTCATGACTCAACAGAGGATCCCTTCTCTATTTCCTTTTTCTGCAACATTAGTGTTGAAATTTACTGGGTTCTCACTGGTTCGTCGAACTTTACTCCTCGAGCATGCAGGCTCATATATGCGGGCAAGCAGCTGGCAGATGACAAGACTGCCAAGGAGTACAACATCGAAGGCGGATCTGTCCTCCACCTTGTGCTCGCCCTGAGGGGTGGTGACCTCCATTGAAGAAGAAGAAGAAGAGCTCGTTACTATATTCTTATCTGAAATAGACCATTGTTGTGGCCGATGCATTGCTCATTTCTGAACTGCTTGGTGTTATGAGAGTTGATGATACTCTGCTGCTGGAAATGATTGCTCGGCCCATCCACACTCCTGCTACTTCGGCTCAACATGGTAGTGATCGGGGTCCAGGCCCTCTCTCCTCTATTGAGTCTATAAATAGGAAAGGGGTTGCTGTAGAACCATGTGGAATTGCTTGCCATTTTTTTTCTTCATTTCATGGGCACATACATATTCAGGATTACAGGCGGATGAAGATGGAAGAATGGGAGGAAGAAGCAGACATATATCCATCTAGTCTTCTTTAGAGAGAGAAATATGTATCTATATATATATATATATATATAGAGAGAGAGAGAGAGAGAGAGAGAGAGAGCCGTTACGAATCATTTGCTAGTTTTTGTTCTTCTTCGTTCTCATTGGATTCCCACAGACCCGAGAAGAAGAAGAAGAGGAAGAAACAGACGTAGAGATCCCAGAGGTTTCGCTGCAGGCTCGAATGAATTCTGCTGATTATCTTATCAAATGGGTTCCTCGTGGCTTCGTCTGATTCTATCTCCAAGCTCGTCCATGCCCTAAGGGAATCGCCCATGAGATTCTCCTTCGCTCATAAGAAATCCTGGCTAGCAGAAGCCCTCTTGAGGCCTTCCATGAGTGAGCAGTCCACTTTCGGAAAGAGAAAAAGTTAAGGCGGAGATGAATCAGCAGGACTTCTGGAATGCCCATGAGCTCTTCCTTCTCTCATAAGAAATCCTTGCCACTAGAAGCCCTCTCTCTCTCTCTCTCTCTCTCTCTCTCCCTCTATCTATCTATCTCTGCAGTGGGCAGCCGCTCAGCCTGGGACAAGGAAGGATGACAGCCGTCCCCTCCGCAACCGGGCAGTGTCCCTTACGCAAACGTTCAACCTGCTCGTCTCTGTACTTGGCGAGGGCCCTCTGACCTCCACGACTCGTCCCCATCCCCCCCCCACCTGTAATATGGTCCACCGGCGATGGCAGAATCGGCTCTGCTCGAAATCCCGAGCTCGAATCATTTGATAATTTGGCCAAAAGTAGAAATTTTTTGAGCTGATCTTAGAACGCTTCTAAGAAGACCGTGCGTGGGAATTGATCTCCAGGACCGGTTCCATCTATCAAATATTGTCCCCATAAAGCGGGGAAACCGCCACCGCTCTGACCGCCGCCTCTGCGATGGGTCACATCTCGCCGGGCGGCGACAAACGGCCGCCCGCCGCCGGTGGGTCCGCCGCCCTGGCAGATGACACGAAGCCACAGCCGCCACCTGGGCCGGCGCTACCCGGCGGCGCCACCCCGCCGCCATAAACAGGTTGCCCAATTCCAAACCTTCCTACCCGACCACGGTGGTCTCCCCTCCGACCCTCCGTCTCTGGCCGCCAGCCTGTAAAACCCCCCAGGAGCTCGTGAAGAGAGAGAGAGAGAGATACAGAGCGATGCATAGAGAGAGACAGAGAGAAGAGAAGAGAAGAGAGAGAGAGGAGAGAGAAGGAGCACGGTCCAGTTGACTCGGATCTTTTTAGTGGCTGAGTCATTTGTTGACGGAGAGGCGCGACGTTGTATAAGTCGGTAGGCCCGGCACTACGTCGTGTCGCCTTTTTATCTTCGGTCTTATGGGATAAGATTACGGATTAATTTTAATGTCGGCGCGGGTCCCCATGTGCATTATTTTTCAGATAAAACCCCGTTAAAAACGTACTTTTAGGAAGTCCCCCCCCCTCCTCTTCGACTTTGTAGGGGACGATCGCCCCCTCCTTTCCTTGTATTTTTTAATAAAAACCCCGATAAATTTCATAATTGAGGCGATAAGGTAACGGCTGACTCAACCCGGGTGGCAGGCGACGTCAGTGCAGGTCCTGGTGTGCGTCGCTATTTTTCAGATAAAATCCCGTTAAAGAATGTACTTTTAAAAAGTTCCCTCCTCTGCGAACCCTGAATATGCCCTCCTTTTCCGGTATACTTTTAATAAAAACCCCTGACAAATTTCATAATTCAGTGCTACCAAGGACTTAATTTTACCTGATTCCCCGAGAAAAGTAACATTTAATATTTATTCCACAACCTGATGAAATTCTCGTTTCCCCTGCGAAGCTTTCGCTTCACAGGGCCGTTCCGTTAATTAGTAGGGATATTATATTTTAACGAACGGTTCGGCTCACCCTCCGCGGCGGGCGTCCTGGCTGCGCCGCCCATCGGTGGCTCCTCCTGTGCCGCCGCCGCCGCCATGGCGGCGCAACCAGCCGCCGGTGAGTCACAGCGGCGGGCATGGCGTAGTACACTTGTACGGCTGATAGCGTGCCGTACCTTTCTCCGCAGCTTTTTCTACGAGGTCTCCCATCACTCCCGTCGTCGTCTTTCGACCATCCATCCGTCGGCGACGGATGCGCTAAAATCTCGACCGTCTGATTATTCACGTGTGCTGGTCCCAATCGATCGATATCCTTATCCGTTAAGGTGCACCCGTTTAACACAACCTTTATTGATGCTTCTTGGGTAAGGCTCCTACCTCTATGATTCCTGCCTATGACAACACCTCCTTTTACCTTACATGTTGGAATTGTCTCCTAACTCTCTTTTCTTATTAAAAATAATAATACTTTTTTAGAAAAAGTTATAGTCACGTGAGGGATTCTAGTAGTCACATGATCACCCAGAAGCAATCCCCCCTCTCTCTCTCTCTCTTAGATACCTCATATATGAGAACATTTTTAATAGAATGAAACCCACATTCATGATTTTCTCTATGGTGAAGGATACCATGTATTCTTATATATATTGTATGAGTAAAATTATAACGATTTATTAACCTTACTATATTTATATTTTATTACTCTCAATAAAGATTTATTTGTAATTAAAAATATTTATTCTTCTTATAAAAAGGTCAACGTACACGGATCTACATTGTAAGAGAGATGATGGCAAAGTGGGGATGAACATGATTTGCACATTTTGCTGCAAACCAAATTCTATGCATTTAGACTAAATTGGTGGTAAGTTTGGAATAAATTTGGATGCTTATGTGGATGAAGTAGATAAAAAGAATACTACTATGTTAATTTCACTACAATAATACATACATGTAATTGAATCACTTCATTAATGGGATTAACTTAATAGATATATGAGGCATATGTCAATCGAGAGACATACGAAATAATTTGATTCAAATCCCAGTGTTTTACAGGGAATCACACGGCCTTATATCTAACCACATTATATCTAATCACTGGATGCATGCATCATCAACTAATATCATGCATTTGGAAAAAAAATCTCTCATTGATGAGAGTCAAACAAATAAAATCATCAATAAAACCTAAGTTAGATATGCTATCTCATATGTGTATCAGGGAGGCCTTGTATAGAAAGATATTGTCGTCTACATAGCCAAGAAAGGGGGGAAACCATGCCAATTGAGTGGGGTAGAGATCTTTGCATCTATTGGTCAGATTATACTCACATTTGCACACATTTACTTACTCCTAGATACATTGTGGGGAGTGCTAAGAGTCCCTAGTTTTACTGTCTAGTGGAATATGTAATAAAAAAAAGAAAATAAATTTCGGAAATTTATAGAGTTCATGGATGATACGGAAGACTCATATATTTTTGGCCGAGGAAGAGTAAAAAAAAATATTTTTTTCAATGGAATTAGATAAATTAATCGGATTTTAAACATTTTCCCTGCAAAATATATTTTCTGTTGCCGAGTGACTTTTGTTGTTTTCGGTTAATGCGTGAGTTAAATATTCCGAGTGGCTTTCACTCCCCCACCTGCTTTTCTCCGCTTGCGCTTTCATATACCGAGGAACTGCTGCGGGGTAAGTGGGCAGAGAGGGAGAGAGAGGAAAGGGAGGAAAGGTACACGGCGAGGAGCGCGCCGAAGTGAAGAGAGCGGTTCCCGGAGCGGTTTCGGCGGAGGGGAAGGGTCTCTCCGACTTCGTTTGCTCGGTTTTCCAGTTGCGGTAAACTGCTTTTCTCCTGCCTCCGGTTGTCTCGTTCGTCATCCGGACGAGGGTTTCAGATCTGGCTGACCTTTTGAGCCATTGACTGTAGATTTCTTTGTCATCCGCGCGGTAGCCTCTGTATTTCTCGTTGGTTAGGGTTCCAACTTTTCCATTCCTCATCGGTCTGTATCTGTTTGCTCCATTTCTCTGTTTTGATTTTCTTCCGGACGCGGTTATAGCCGCGGTCTTCCGTGTCCGTCATATTTCCGATGGGATTGTTTTTTCCTTCTAGTTTTCTCTGGAATTCTGCCTTGCTTCCTCTTGCTGGAAATGGAATCATGCACTGTTTATCTGCCCTCTCGTGTACAGTGGTGCTTTTGTTTTTATTTTTGTTGTTTACCATCTCCTCAATCGATGAGTGCCATTTTTTCATGGACGGGGCTCCTCTCAGTCCGATGGTTTGATCGTAGTCTGTTCGGTGGTGGATTTGTCGACAATGTAACTGCCTCGTTTTCTCCTTCTCATGTTCGTTTTTACTGTCTGAGGGCTTTTTACCGCCGTGGACGCTATCTCCGGTGTCTGTGGTCTTTTAACGAGTGTACAGCCGTAAGGTTATTTGATCATCTAGTCTTCTTGTTTTTACGCGGATTTGAGTAAACATTATTTTAGCCACACTTTTAACGATGAAATATTGTGTGATTTTTTTTCGTTACTCGCGTTGAAGTTGATAGATATCTGTTCTTCGTTGTTGAATATGAGCCGTTGCTGCTTTCCTTTTGTGTGCTGATGCTCGGCTTTAGCCTTGTTTACTTCTGTCGCTTGATCCTTAGGACTCTGTGTATGATTAGATACCCGTGAAGTAGACTAGGGAACATAGATATCCAGCGGTTGCTTCTTGTGTGTGCCCTTAGCAATTTTAATCGTTTCGTGGAATATAGTTTTGAAAACGTACCTTTTTTTTGTAATGATTTTCCCGTACTTTGACGTTCATCATCTAATGAGTCAGTTATCTTCGTCTTTTAGTTATTTTGAACTAGTTTTCTGCTCATCTATGTGCTTCTCATATTTGATGCAACTTGTTCTGATTTTGGAGTCTGATGTTTGTTAGTGTTTTATTTTCTTTTATTGGTCTTATTTGAAGGTGCCGTTTGCTGGGTGGAATGCGCTACACTGGTTTTTTAATGTTTTGTTCGACGTTTTTTGCTCGCTGGAGTGCGAGTTTACATGGGAACTATTAATAATGTTTGTAGGTCTTCCTCTCACCTGCTTACAATCTTTGACAGTTTTATGTACGAAAACATCTTCTTTACGGTCATTTTAAATGTTAGGAATTGATATGATATTTTGGGTGGAGTTTTCTTTTTTTAGGCCCTACTCTCAATACTCGTGCTGTTTTGCTTGGTTTTCGCTGATCAACTAATCACTGTGTCGTGCATTTTCCTCCTCATTTTTTTGTTCAGGTATTGTAATTGATCTTACTGCCATCAAATTTTACTTGCTTAATTATACTTGGGGTTTGTGCAGTGCCCATCATGGTGAGGAAGAGGAGGACTGAACTTCCCGGAACTGGTGAGAGTTCGGAATCTCAAGAAACCAGTGGCAGTGGAGGTCGTGGTGCTCCACGGGCTCAAGAGAGAGCACCAATGCCCCAGACGCAGGGAGGTCGTGGTGGTGGCGGAAGGGGTTGGGGCCCATCCGGTCCACATCACGCCCAACAGCAGGGTGGTCGAGGGGTAAGTCGTGGTGGCGGAAATCAGCCACGTGGGGGGATGTCACAACAACATCCCCATCCTCCTGAATACCAGGGTCGCGGTGGATATCAGCCCCGTGGAAGTGTGCCATCGCAGCAATCTTATGGACGTGGGGGTGTGGGTATGGGAGGTGGTCGTGAAAGTGGCCCCTCTTCTTACACCCCATCGAGGCCTCCACATCCCGAGCTGCACCAAGCCCAACCTTTTCCATCAACCCATCCATCGGCATCTCATGCTAGCTCGTCTCAGCTGCACGAGAAAACTTCTACAGAAATGGCACAACAGCTTCAGCAGCTTTCATTGCAGACTGAAGTGGCCTCGAGTGAGACTACCCGTGCAATTGTGCCTGTCGCACCATCAAGTAAATCAATAAGATTCCCTTTACGACCTGGGAAGGGAAGCGTTGGAACAAGGTGTATAGTAAAGGCTAACCATTTTTTTGCTGAGCTTCCCAACAAAGACCTTCACCAGTACGATGTATGTTTTTATTGGTTTGGCTTTTTCATTTCCCATTGTTCATGTTGAGCTTGAGACTGAAGTCATTAATTATATATATTTTGAACTCGGTAGGTTTCTATTACACCTGAGGTCACTTCTCGTGGTGTGAATCGTGCTGTCATGGAGCGGTTGGTGAAATTATATAGGGAATCCCATTTAGGAGGAAGACTTCCAGCTTATGATGGACGGAAAAGTTTATACACTGCTGGAGCATTTCCATTTACGTCTAAGGAGTTCTCAATCGTCCTTGATGATGAGGATGATGGTGCGGGTGGCCCAAGGTTCATTCTGATCCATCCATTTATGTTTAGCTGACTTTTTCCCCTTTTGTTTTGTTGGTGACCTCTTGTTCCCTCTGCTGTGCTGTATAACCTGCAGGAGAGAAAGACAGTTCCGTGTTGTTATCAAGTTTGCAGCTCGTGCCGATCTTCATCATCTGGAAATGTTTTTAGCAGGGAAGCAGGCTGATGCTCCTCAAGAAGCACTTCAGGTTCTTGACATTGTCTTGCGTGAGTTGCCGACAAAAAGGTAACCGCAGTCTTTAGAGCTATTACGGATATTTAATTTCATAAGAGTGTTATTGTGAGTATTACATAACCTCATCAAGGATTCATGATTTTGTGCCATTAGGTATTCTCCGGTTGGACGGTCATTTTATTCTCCTGATCTAGGAAGAAGGCAGACACTTGGTGAAGGTCTGGAAAGTTGGCGTGGGTTCTATCAGAGCATTCGGCCTACACAAATGGGCTTGTCCCTCAACATTGGTTGGTTAACCTAAGTTTCTTTATTTCATTTACGTATTTGAAGTCCTGTCCTTTGAATACAATCAGCTATTTTGTGCTTCATGTATTAACAAGTGAAACCATCGTATTTCATCCAAGAGTTGGCTTTAGTTGAGAAAAGGCAGTGTTTTGAACTCTCTGGTTGTCTTTTCACGGATAATGATGTGACTCAAACCTCACTCATCGTTTTATTATGGACTAATTCTGTAGGGGTTTTAGGGAGCATCTAGTTTGAAGTTGTTTAAAAGAGCTGATCTTTTTTTGCTCAAAGAATTTATTGATAGAAAATTACGCATTTACGATTGTAAAATGACATTGATGAGGGCCCAACAATTAATAATGTTTTTTGGAATTTTACTGGTAAATCATTTGAGCAGAAAATACATAATGAATCGCATAATACATTTGGTATGCTGATTTGTATTTGGTGAATTTCAATTGACCTGGATGATCCGTACTCTGGGAAGTCAACTTGAATGTTATGTGCCTTGTATGCTAGTGAACTTGGTGATTGAACGTTGCACTGCAGCTGGTAGACGGACTCGCTATTCAGCAAAACTGCTGAATATAAACATGGAAGATCTGGACTCTCCATTATTTGATATTGCTGATATTTTAACGTTTTTGTCATATTATTACAGTTTTAACGAATGCTGAATGCCTTATATGTTATTTTTTAATTCGTCTTCGGTTGTGCTGTGATATCTGCAAACATCCTAATGAATTTTCTTACAATTTGCGATCGTCTATTTATGTTTAACAATTACCACGTGTGTGGCTCTTTTTTGTTTTGGTGTAGACATGTCATCCACTGCTTTCATAGAACCACTCCCGGTGATTGACTTTGTCACCCAGCTACTGAACAGGGATGTGACTGCCAGACCTCTATCTGATGCCGACCGTGTCAAGGTATTACCCAGTTGTCTCGATTGTATGCCCACAACTTATTTTGGTTTACCTTGTCCTGGCTTTTTGGTTTCTTTAGTTCATGTGCTGAATGAAAAATATTTCCCTGTTCACAAATCCATTTATGCTTACGAAAAGGGCTTATGTACATATTGAGGAAGTTTGTCGTCCAGATGGAATTTACGCTTGTTCTTTTCTAATTGGCAATGAATGAAATACTTGGCTTCCGTTGTCATTAGTTTTCCTGAGTTTCTGCCCAGATTTAGTTCGAGTGCATTCTGACCGAACAGTTATGGAGGTCAAGTGTCTTTGTTTCGAAACACTAAATTTTTCCAATAGGAATTAGTGAAAACATCGTGCCATTATCTCTGACACCTTCTCTCTCATACTATATTTTTTGCAATTATATTGATGTAATACTGACCATGTACTGTGTCCATTTTATCTTTTGAATGGGAATGATCATCATCGGATCTACCATTCAATGGCTTTGTGACGTTGCATTGTTGCTATGATGTCTGCCTTTTACTCGGTGTCATTTTGCTTTTCACCGTTTTTTTAAGGTTAACTTGGCATAGCATTTAATTATGTTCTTCTTATCTTATTTGGTATGAAAATTATTGCGAAGAATAGTTGTGGATTAATTTATCGTTCTGTGATATATATGCTTAGAGCAAGTTTATGGTGTTATTACCTTTCCTCACTATTTTGTGGGTGAATTTTCTCACTGGCATTTTGCAGATCAAAAAGGCTCTTAGGGGTGTCAGGGTTGAAGTCACACATCGTGGCAACATGCGTCGAAAGTATCGAATATCTGGATTAACATCACAGGCAACCAGAGAACTGACGTATGATATTTTGCTGTTGTTATTTTCTTTTAAGCTTTGACTTTTTTTGATGAATAATTATGGTAATGCTGGACCATTGGAATTTTTGATTATTCTTTTGGTATCCTATGAATGCATCGTGATAAAAACAGATTTCCAGTGGACGATCGTGGGACAATGAAGTCTGTAGTTCAGTACTTTTCTGAGACATATGGATTTGTTATTCAATATACTTCATTGCCTTGTTTGCAAGTGGGCAATCAGCAGCGACCAAACTATCTTCCTATGGAGGTCAGTCTTGGAATGTCTTCGCCATTTTAAATCGGGAAAACAGTTGCTATAATATTAAATCTTACATTCTTTTTTGGTTTATTTGTATATTGCTAATTTGCTTAACTGTTGCTCGATAAATCATCCCTTTTTTGTGAACCAGGTATGCAAAATCGTTGAGGGACAGCGATACTCTAAGAGATTAAATGAAAGGCAGATAACTCAACTTCTTAAAGTTACCTGCCAGCGACCAAGTGACCGGGAGTGTGATATCTTGCGGGTATACATCTTGAGTCTAAATTTAGGCCTTCGATGTGTTGTTTGAACTGATTTGCTTGTGTTTAAGTGTATGCATCGGCCTCATCTTCCCTTCATGTGGAATTCCAAAGTTATCATTAGGGGTGGACTTTCTTGTTGGGACCAGTCCTTTCTACCTTTCTAAATAGGTATTTTGGAAGGCTCGTGTATATTTCAGTTGTCTATAGAAGGGAATTCATCTTCTCATTCTCCTTTATTGTCCACAGTCTTGGTCAGGGGTGACAATACGGCAAAGTCCCCTATATATAGGTTTATATAATTGTATAATCTTCAGAACCAAGATTGAAGACCGATCCCTGAAGCTTTGTCATACCCGCAGATTATATCATTTTACGCGATTTGCGGGAATTTAGTTAGAGATACAGGCATTGGAAGAAGATGTCAATTGAGTTCCCCCGAACTTCTGCAATGATGATGCATATAGTAGTTATATAATTCCCACCCGTGACACCCGTTCTATACTAAGTAGTTGACTGGGACGTGGGTATGTGTGTGTGTAGTGACTATTTCCTGCTGCTAGCCAACAGCTCGCTTAGGTAGATGACATAGACTTATTGACATTACGCCCATCGTTTCTCATCTTTTCTGACTGTCGCCTGTAGGGTGGCAGGTCTGTTGTGTTATTTATCAAGCTTTGTTTTGGAATGAACTTCTTCTGAGGTTATTTCTTAGATCACCTTTCTTCTCTTACTGGTTTGCCAGATCCGGGCTGACTTGTGAGTTAGGAATGGCATTATTCATGTTTGATGAATCTAATAATTTTTTCTAGGATCACAACTTCCAATGAAGTGTGGGCACGTAACATATTTTTTTGATTGGGGTGATTAACATCTTGTTAAAGGACATTTGTCTCCTGTCTACCGAATTGTATTACGTTCCCGGGTTGTCTGGGCCGTATCAATGTGTCAGGATGGGTTCTGCCATTTGACCAGATTTAGGGCTCATTTTCATCCAAGTCGTCTGATTCTGCTGAGCATTTTTTTACTCAGTCTCTTTGGTGTGCCCTCAGCAGTGTACTATTTGTACGGTCGTATTACTGGACAAGTTTGGATATTGTGATGTTCCTTTCTTCCTCGTTTACCATACGATACCAGCTGTCTGGGGCATTTGTTCTTACCATTAACAAAACATTTCTATTTGGTTATATGCTGTACTGCGGTCAAATGTGATTGCAATTCAGATTCATAGGTGTCATAAACGGTGTTTCTTTCTCAGCATTGTATTCTGACAGGACATGGAGTATAGTGCATCATGTCAATCGTTCTTAAGTAGTGAGTCCTTGCTTGTTCTTGGGGAGCCAAGAATTGCTTACAATTTTTTTCAGTCAAAACTCTTGAGGGCTAATTGCTCCGTGCTTGATATTTCATAATTGACGGGTTTCTTAAACTTTGTTGGGATATTTCGTTTCCGATTATGATCCGTTCTGTTTTCTTCTGTTTGACCGTGTTGCACATGACTTTCCTCCTTCCTGTTTCTTTCAGACGGTCCATCATAATGCCTATCAAGATGACCCTTATGCAAAAGAGTTTGGCATCAAAATCAGTGAGAAACTTGCTTCTGTAGAAGCACGCATCTTGCCTGCGCCTTGGGTAAGTTTAGAAGCAAGGTTTTCAGTTCCAAATATTGATCAGTAGTTGATTCTGGTACACTGTGCTTGTGTCTGGCAGCTCAAATATAATGACACTGGGAGGGAAAAAGATTGTTTGCCCCGAGTGGGCCAGTGGAACATGATGAATAAGGTATTGTTATGCTGATCATATTCTTGCCGTAATTCCTGAGTGAATATAGATTTGAATGTGCTTTTTCATTTTCATTTTCATTTTCACCATGGGAGTTTTTATCCTTCTTTTTTCATCTCTATTACTTTTTTTTTGGATGGATATTTTTAAGTCATTGCTGTTTCTCATTGTCATTCGAATTGTTGGCGAAACGCATTCCTCAAAGGAACATTGTATGTTATGTATCATCCTAAACCCGTGTATTAGTTTCATTTTCATTTTCATTTTCACGATTGATGAAGTTTTCATCGTTTTCTCGATCGCCTCGCCCAATTTTCACAGTTTATTCTCGGCAGACAGTGGATCTTCGTCTTCATGTTTTTTTGACCTTTAAGCTTATGTGCGCTGTAATTATGTGATATCCATTCCCTGTGCTTGCACAATCTCGCACTCATAATAACGTTTTCTCGCTTACTATTATAGTTTGACCTATTGTTTCCTTTTGTGACAAATGCTTAATGGATTTTCCATGTTAGAAAATGTTCCATGGGGGTAAAGTTCACAACTGGATCTGCATCAATTTTTCACGCAATGTACAAGACACTCCTGCTCGGGATTTCTGCCATGCTCTTGCTCAAATGTGTCAAGTCTCCGGCATGGTATGGTCCCCCGCTCTATGCTTTCAGCCTCATAACTTGCGCATCATGCATCCATTATTGTCCCGTACTCCTTCACGCAAATCAAATTGCCTGTCTCCTAGGATTTCACTCTGGAACCAGTACTGCCTCTATTGAGTGCCCGGCCCGAGCAGGTGGAGAGGGCGCTGAAGAGTAGATATAACGATGCCATGAACATTATCCAGCCGAAGGGCAAAGAACTCGATCTGCTCATCGTGATTTTGCCTGACAGCAATGGTTCACTCTATGGTAATTTCCTTCTCACCAATGGAGCGGCAGGGGAATCTCACATCTTAAAATATTTTGGTCTCAGCGGCCAAGAACGGTTAACCTCTTAATGATTCTGTCAGACATTGATGCCCCTCTCTAATCTCTGTCATTATTTATTTTTGCCTCCCAGGGGATCTGAAGAGAATCTGCGAGACAGAACTCGGCTTAGTATCGCAGTGCTGCCTGACCAAACACGTGTTCCGGATGAGCAAACAGTACCTTGCAAATGTCGCCCTCAAGATTAACGTAAAGGTCGGTCGGCCCGTGAGGTTTGGTTAAGTGGAATTCTCTTCCTGCTCCTGTGAAACACATCTTCAATTTTGTCAAACTCCTCTCTCATTGATGATCAGGTGGGGGGAAGGAACACCGTTCTGGTGGACGCCTTAACTGGGCGCATCCCCTTGGTCAGTGACCGGCCTACAATAATCTTCGGCGCCGATGTTACTCATCCTCATCCCGGCGAAGACTCAAGCCCCTCGATTGCAGCTGTAAATCTCCCGTGGTCTCTTCTGGCCTTGGATCTTTTAGAGTATCTTGTCCTAAACCGTTTCCATGGCGATGATTTGCAGGTGGTTGCCTCTCAAGATTGGCCTGAGGTGACCAAGTACGCTGGATTGGTGAGCGCCCAAGTTCATCGTCAGGAACTGATCGAAGATCTCTTCAAAGTCTACCAGGATCCTGTGAGAGGAACGGTCACTGGTGGCATGATAAAGTAAGGCCCTCATCTCAGAGCTCCTCAAAGGAGCCACCTGGGTCGAATGAATGATTGATTGATTAACTCCGTTTTTATCCATCTCTGTGTGTTGCCCCCCAGGGAGCTGCTGATTTCCTTCAAGAGGGCGACTGGGCAGAAGCCTCAACGAATCATCTTCTACCGGTGCCTGCTCCCACTCGACCTCTCTCTCTCTCTCTCTCTCTCTCTCGTTCTCTTTTTACGTATATGTCAAGATACTTGTGAGTGGAGATCCAGTAGATCACGGTGTAATGGTCCTTCCTGTGGCAGAGACGGGGTAAGCGAAGGCCAGTTCTATCAGGTGCTGTTTCACGAGCTGGATGCCATCAGGAAGGTCGGATTCTCGCTCCAAGGAACTCCCAGGCTGTGCTTTTTTGGTTTTACAACTCCGTCCCTCATTGATTGAATCTTCCATTCTGTGGGCGCTTCCTTCCAGGCCTGTGCTTCCCTGGAACCGAATTACCAGCCGCCGGTGACCTTCGTGGTCGTCCAAAAGCGCCACCACACCCGGCTCTTCGCCAACAACCACAACGATCATCACTCGGTCGACAGGAGCGGCAACATACTACCTGGTTAGATGACTACAGCTTCTCCACCTCCACACCCTCCCCCCCCCCTTCTTCTCTCTCTCTCTCTGTTCATATTCCGATAATTTTCTTGTAAATTTACAGGCACCGTCGTCGACTCCAAGATTTGCCACCCCACCGAGTTTGATTTCTACTTGTGCAGCCATGCTGGCATCCAAGTAAGCTCCCCTTCTCAATTTCCTCTCCATCTCTCTCTTCCTTTGCCCATAATATCCATCCCTGTGGGTGCACTGAGGCTGCGAGTTTGTGTGTCCAGGGCACGAGCCGTCCGGCTCACTACCACGTCCTGTGGGACGAGAACAAGTTCACGGCGGACGGCCTGCAATCCCTCACCAACAACCTCTGCTACACGTAAGAAACCCTCCCTCTCCTCCTGTTCGTTCTCTCCCCTGAACAGCTCCCCGCCCTCCCGCATCCAACAAGGCTTAACACTCTGGGATTTTTCTTCTCTTCTCTTCTCTCAGCTACGCGAGGTGCACCCGCTCCGTCTCCATAGGTAAAAGCTGCTCTTAATCCACCAAGTTTCTTCTTCTCTTGTGGGTTTTTTCTGAGAGGTAGAGGGCTTTTGGTATTTTGTATCTCTGCAGTGCCTCCCGCGTACTACGCGCACTTGGCTGCTTTCCGGGCTCGCTTCTACATGGAGCCGGAGACCTCCGACAGCGGGTCGATGACCAGCGCCGCCGCCGCCACCCGCGGCGCCGCCGCCGCCGCAGGGCCGCGTAGCACCCGCACGCCACCCAGCTCCGCCGTGAGGCCCCTCCCGGCTCTCAAGGAGAATGTCAAGCGCGTCATGTTCTACTGCTGAGATTTGTGGTCTTCTAGTGTGGAGAGAGAGACCTTTGCTTGGGGCTGCACTCTCGGCTTTTACCCTCGACTCCCGTCCGTTTGCTCCTTTGTTGTGGCTACCTGGATATTTTCTGCTTTTGGTTTGCTTCATCGTTCGTTTGATTTACTTGGTTATCTGGGTTATCAACAGGCTTTCAGAGAGAGAGAGAGAGAGAGAGAGAGAGAGAGAGAGAGAGAGAGAGAGAGAGAGAGAGAGAGAGTCAGTCGGTGGGGCATGTGTTGAGACTACTAGTAGAAGAAAAGCTCAAATGGGTTAATGATGATATACACAAGCTCAGGAATCATCTGCCCAGTCAGGCAATGATAGGTGATATCATGAGAAGACAAATTTACAATCTTGGGCCACCACAGAAGCTAAGTTAAAGGAGAGGGAGGGAGGGTTCACAAGGAAGGCCGGTCCCTTTAAAGAGAAGCTCCCAGGTGGTGAGGGCATCAGCTTTCTACGCTCCTGTCCGAGTCCGACTGCTTCTGGATGCTGATCCCGTTGTTCATCCTCGCGCGGGCCTCGGCGAACATCCGCTGCTGCTCGGCCAACGCCTCCTCTTCGGTCATCTCCACCCCGCTCCACTTCCCTGCCTTCGGGGAGTCCTGTTGGCCACCACCACCACCACCAATTCCGCCCGTTAACATCTCGAGGGAGGAGGAGCTCGAGAAGCCGTGAGAAAGACGGACAGAATATGCGCCAAGGGGGCCCTTTTTTATGGCTCCACAATGCTTTCTAGTTTCATCATTAAAGCTCCATGATTGGTAACTTACAGATGCGGGCGGCTAAACAATGAGAAGAAAATCATCTGGGCTTTGTTACCCAAAAATTAGGGTTTAAAACAAGACCGTGACAAATGAAGGGGTGGAAAGCGGTCAGGGCTATTATTATTTAACAATACTAATTTGTACAACTCTGAGAGAGAACAAACCAGGGTCTCCAGCTTGTGTTGCTCATAGGCGGCATAGACTTCTTCGATGTATTCCCCAAACCCAAGATCCTGGGATGGTACGAGAGGCATAGAGACGTAAGGAACATATTGCCTAATTAAATCACAATTAGGAGGCCAATTTCAGAGAACATGAACATAATAAAACAAATATAGACCAGAGCACACAGAGAGGAGGGCGAAGTGAAGATCGATTCAAAGGATGAACACAGGATCATAAGAAGTATGGAACTAAGATAGCAGCAGAAGAAGATTAACCATCATTGGATAGGCATGGCAGTCCACGCTCCACATGATAATCCTTCTTCAAGGCCCTCGCCAATACATCTTACTAAACCACATTGTTTGCAGTGCCACAAAGGCACATGCAAGAGATCATAGCTAGCCACATATAGAGTAAGGATATCCTTCAAATTTTTTTGGAAGTTTGAACTTGAAGGGAGTGTTGGGAGGGAAAATATTACTAGAAAAAAAAACTATGCAGACAAATAAAACATTGTTTAATGAAATAAATATGGAGTAAGGTCAAGATCAGAAACCTTTAAAGCCTGGATAACATGCTCAGGAGCAATTGTTCTTTTGTCCTCTCGACTACACACTTCGTTAGACTCTGATGAGACAAGGTTGATGAACTCTGAATAAAATAAATCATAAGAAGACAATTACTCTATCTGCCAGCCCACTTGCCTCAAGAATGAGAGTAAAAAGGAAAATGCGATTGGCGATTTTGGAGTAGGACTACAGCACGGAATATTAAGAAAAAAGCAGGGAACATAGCAACTAAAATTTCAATAAAAACAAGGAAGCAACACGACATATTCTGAAACTAGAGACTTTAAAATATTTTCTCATGCTGTGGAAGAGCGGTGTAAGATTGTCATCTGTAGTCATTCAAAGGAATATAAAATGGCTTGTACGCTTTGCTCAGACCAGTCCTAAGACAGACCTAATTTTTAGAGAGGCAATAGATCTGGAGATCAAGGCTCTCATGAACACCACAGTTAAAGTAAGCAAATGAGATGGTCAAAACTTTGTTGCTTACCTACGCAGCATTCAACAAGAAGATCTTGTGCATCTCTTGCGACACGGACATCAGGTGGCAACATCTCCTTGATAATCTTAAACATAGTCGCTGGATAACCAAAGATAATATGAGTGCCAGCAGAACAACATTCTAGATGTTTCAGTAACTTTCATGGGGCAAAGTTGCCACCAGCATTACCATTAGATATAATTTACCTCGATATGTAACACTTTAATTTGCAATAATAAAGGACTTAAGCCAAGATTTGAAGTTTAACCAGAATGCATCACAAAAAAGTATCGGATAGAAAACTGGTAGATACGGCTACCTCGTGACATAAATATTGCGACAAAATATATAGAAACCGAACTTTCTGCCTTTCAATAGGCCTGAAAATGTTTGGAGCTTGGTTATGCCGTGGGTTGCAGTAAAAGGAGACTCACGTTGATGAATCAACGACAATGAGAGCACAGTTGACAAATGAACAGAATATAGCATATCAAACCATCAATGGATTGTCAAAGGAAAACAGTAAGCAAGGACATTTGTGCACGTACACTGCACATCAAGAGATTGGCGTATTTTCAATCAAGGAATGGGCCAACAGCACCAGTTTCATCTGAGAATAGATAGGCAGTCAAATCCAACAATACTCCAACTCAGATATTTCCAGGTTCTTGGAAGGTTAAATTGAATGAACCAGGGGGTCACCTAGCACACTCACGATACAGAGGACAAGGTATTGCAAAACTAAACGGTATCTTTCGTAAAAAGAGTGTGAAAAAGGTAACACTATCAATCTAGAATACACGAATTTATTCGATAAGTCATCATAGGCAGCCAATTTTGATGGCAATTTTTTTTTTTATGGAGGATTCTTTGTATGGTCTGAAATAAAAAGAGTATAAAGCCAGAAATGGTTAAATACCACAAGTGACCACACACCCTTGTATGACCATTCCCATATTCTCTACCAAGAACATTGAGAGTTCTATGGGTTTGCCTCATGGTGGAAGAATTAACTAGCCCATTGGCCTGTTTTTCTTAAAAGATTAACCCCCATTATTGACTCCCTTGCTCTTCCCTCCACGTAGAGTACAAAAAATTGGTAGAGAATCCTTAATAGGAATATTGCCGCCAACTCCATTTAAACGGTTGCCAACATATGGAGAGTTCCATGGATTTTGCTTTATAGCGGAGCCTCCAACCATCCAAAATGCCCTCTCTTACCATGAAGACTTGGTCATGGAGTGTCCCTATCTCTCTCTCTCTCTGCTTTCACACTTTCCAAAGTAATATGAGAGATTAACATTGATAAAGAAAAATAAGACACAGATTACAGGGACTTCCAGACTATGGGATCCCAGATCTAAAAAAAATAAAGATTTTTCTGATAAAGAGAAGCATAATTTTTTTTTCACCTAGTCGACAAAGAAATTGCTTCGTGTTCTTGCTTCAGGTGATCTCAAAATTGATATGAGGAAAATCAAATACTTTTACTTTCAAATTGGGATGTCTTTCAAACATTACTGAATTCATTTTACAGAGGGCCTCTATTTCAGGACCAATGAGCTCATTAATCAATTGTGCGACAGCACATTATCTTGGCCCAACAGGTTTAAGAGTTCTACTTAGACAGAAGGCACATATCAAGGAAATAAAAGTATGAAATGGGACTACTAGTGCGTCTTCACCAACTACTTTATCCCTAATCGCCAAACTCTGGTCAGTACTACGATGCCACCCATACCCATTACATATTGTCCGTTCGTCTACCACAAATCGTATTTTCAACCCAAATATGTCACGTAATGAACCCACAAATTTGTAACTTCCAATTAATTAAAAGGAGATTTTCTATAGTGTTCAGAACCATTAATTCTCTTTGCAACTCCCGAATATCCAGACCTAATCCATTTCAATAAACAAAGACACGTTGAACGCCCCTTCCTGAGTACCAATTGTGACAGATGCCGAATCAATTTAGGATATACGCTTAAAAAATTGAAGCCCAGGACTTCGATCCCCAAGTTCAAATCGCATGGTAAACACGGAAGCACCTAAGGAATAATTTGCTCGAGGAACGTGAAAGAATAAAACACCATCACGCTACCGATAGGGACAAACCCCCAGAATCCAACACCTAAGACGCGGGGGTAACATGAACAGCTATGTAGAAACAAAATACCAGGATAATCGAGAGAAGCGCATTTCGACCTCATAGTCGATAATAATATCGGAAAAACAGGTCCCAGAAAACGAGGACAGCCATGGAGCACCTTTAGGAAGGGAGACGTCCTCCTTCGACTTGCCGACGATGTCCATGGGCTCCATCCCCAGGAACGACCGCCCGCTCACCAGGGCCCCTCGTCTCCTCCTCTGGAAGGTCGGAGAAGCGCCAGTAGAACAGAACCCCCGAGAAATTCCTCAGCAGCCAAACAAGCCCCGACCCATCATCTCACGAGACGAATTCGAGATGCCAAGCGACCCACTGCCGCAGATCGGGAATCCCCCCCACCCCCCTGTTCGATCCATCCTCCACCGAATTGCTTCAGTTTTTAACGTGGAGAAGCCGTTCTAGGGCACGCCCAAGGAGAAGAGGACGGGGAAGGCGGAGCCAACAAACAGGCCCACGCCAACGGAACTTTGGGTCCGGGTTCCCTTAAAGGAAACATTCAATGGAAACCGTATCCGTTAATATATCAGAGGGGGGGAAGTCACAGGTTACCCCAAATGGAAAAGACGGCTTTTGGTGAAGCCGTCAGATGAGGATAGTTATTGGTATCCACACACGAGGTGGGCCACCTTAGTGGGGAAGCCCATGTTATGCATAGGATCCATTTCGGCCCATGTATGAAAATCAGGCCCGGCTATGAGGTCATTTCCTTGTCAGACCAAGTGGACCATACGTAGGCTATGCCATTACAGTAATCTCATTGATGAAATAATTTTTTTAGAAAAAAATCCTACGGATACACTGCTTGATTTGTGGCCCCCCTCCATCCTGGAGAGAGAGAGAGAGAGAGAGAGAGAGAGAGAGGGCTGGGCCTGACCCTTTTTTTGAGTTAGGTCTTGAAGTCAAAGGATGGGAAATCCAAGTGGGCTCGAGCATAGTCAACCGGGCCATTAGTACCTCTTTAAGACCCATTACCGAACATCTCAAACTAAATAATGGGCCCGGCCCAGTATCTGTATCTGTAAGGCCCCAGCCGGCCGAGCCAGGCCCATCGACATTCCCACTGCTAGAAAACAAGGAAAACATTCCAAATCTTTATGATAAAATGATTTGATAGATATGTTTTTTGGCCATGCCTTTATAGAGAATCTGAATTCAGAATCTGGGGAATCCGTTTGGGCTCGAAATTTCCCGGTACAGGGGGGGTTAGGATTCCGAGCTGGTCGTATCGAAACCCAACGGTGGAACAGCGCCTCTCTGTCAACGCTTTCGGGACCCCCCGGATTCCATTCGAGTAGTTCTTGCTTCGAAGCCGCTGACAAAGGCCGCAGCAAGACATGATGAAACCCAGGAAAAGGAAAGTCCTCTCCAGGGTCTATCTGGATCTTGGATCTATCCATGACGAGGGCATACCGCGTACATCTCTCTCTCTCTCCTATCTCTATCTATCTCTCTGTGGATGTTGCAGAATCACTGTTCCTCTCGTGAACATGACAGGAGCGGTGCAGGAAAAAATCATGTTTCCAAGGTCAGAGCTGCCATCAGTAAAAGGATAAGGAAAACACTGAGAACACAGTGAGAACGAGAGAGAGAGAGAGAGAGAGAGAGAGAGAGAGAGAGAGAGAGAGGTTTTCTTCTTTATCAGAGACGGCTTCTTTGTCGCACCAGGAGGGCCCTCTACTCTCGCCTCGAGGCTGTTCAGGAGCATCGAAAGGAAGAAAACCTCTATCTTCCTCTCGTGATACCTCAATCTTCGTCGCGACAATTCTCCGATATAAGTTACAAACCAAACGTCTTTATCCATTCTCCTTAGGTACATGGCCCCTTCTCTCACTTGATGGCCTCTCTAATCTCACCAACATGGGTCTAGGTTTTCGTGACTAAGATATTCTCAGCTTCCTAAACCACCAAAATATTTCTGTCTCTCTGAGTGTTTGTCTGTCCCTCTCTCTATCTCTCTCTCTCACTCTCTCTCTCTCTCTCTCTCTCGGCCATGATAAGACAAAACGACCGCAGGTAGAGATGAATGACGCGTACACGACACTAGTCTCCATAATCTGCACACAGGCGGACAGGTAGATACGGCAAAAGAGGAAGGAATTGCCCCTTCTTCCCATTATCATGCAGTACAACCACACCTTAGAAAATCTAGAGATCGAGTTCTCTTGAAGGCAAGAAAATGCGTCTTACGATCCTCAACGTAGAGTATTCAGCTCTACTACTAATTAAACGATAAGAATCATGACAGAGCGGCCGAAGAAGTCGGAGGAGGAGTGTATTCTCAATCACTTACATTCCTATCAAAAGCTTGTTCTCTATCTCCCCCATCCCATTGCTTCCTTTCTGGGTTCCCTTGGAAGGAGTTGGGGGGAGTGGGAAGGAGAAAAGCAGGAATGGAGGAAGAACGGGGGTCGTTTCTACCTCTCCATTATAAATTCCGACCAGGGTACGATCTACTTGCTGATGCCGACTTAAGTTCAGAGTCCAGAGAACTGATGTCAAGGCCATGGTGTTGTTCCCTTTGAGACATCCCACTGCCCATGCTTCTCACCATGCTGCCGACTCCCAGGAAGTCTCTGGTGAGCCTGTCTGATCCACCTATACTTCCCATGGAGAGATTGTTATGCAGTTTAGATTCATCCAAGCTGCATAAGCTCGGGTTGAACCCGCCAAAGCCACCGTCTTCGTCATGACCTTCACCGGTGCAACTTCCCCCGAATGTCACCGCAGCTGCGGCCGCTACTCCTCCAGTGCCGCCACCAAACACGCCTCCACCGCCGTTCGCGAGGGAGTTCATGAGATTTTGAAGGTGGGCCTCGTTTTCGACGTGCGTTCTCATGCTTTCTCCGCCGCCACCGAAGTTGGGCTTGAAGCCAGTGGGTTTGGCGCTGCTGGAAGACGAGGAACTCCCGAATCCCCTCAGCAAGGGAGATCCGTTCCCGCTCGTCGTTGCTCCCATCTGGGCCGCCTTCTGAAGCAACGCGGTCGCTGACATGTGAGGAAGAGCCGCTTCTTGCTGCACCGAGGTGTTATAGAGAGAGGGGACCCCGGAATCCATGTGATTCCCCATCAGGTTCCCGGGGAAGAGATTTGCCGACTCCCCAGCGCCGCTCCCATTGCCGAAGTGGTCAGAGAACAAGAGATGACCGTTGGGATTATTCCCGTTGTTGCTGTTGTTGATGCTGCTTGTGTTGTTCCCATTGGTGAAGAAGCTAAGGTTGAACAGGTTGGCGGCGGCCGCCGCCGCCGCCATGGAAGATGAGGGAGCGGTGGTGTTACTGTGGAGGTCTGGGAGTTGCATGAGGCCATGGAAGGGCTTGTTCTGGAGCAAGGAATGGTGGGCCTGGGAAGATTCTTGGAAGTCTTGGCTTGCGCCACCGCTGAGGAAGAAGCTCGAGGAAGAACCGGCCTGAGGAGGGCGAAACGGCGAATGGTTGGAGGAGGACATGAGGTGGTCGAATTGCGGTGCCCCACCGGTGGCGCCACCCCCAAGGCGGAGGAGGTCGGCGCTGGCCAGGTGGTTCTGGTCTTGGAGAGAGGAGATTTGAGAGTTGACTTGAGAGATGCCGAGCCCCACATTGCCGCCGCCGTACAAGTGGCCTCCTATCGTGTTCAATCCAGAAGGTATCCGGGAGCTTTCTTGCGCTAGGGCATCGCAGAACGCCCTGTGGGTGATGAAGCTGTCCCGCCTGGAAGAATACAAACAATGGAAGGTCAGTCGAGCCAGATATCGCAACGTTTTCTAGGATAAGAATGATTTGGTCGCTGTTCACAGGCACTTCGTTGACTTTTTGCCGAACGGAGACTTCAAACGATCAGACCCAAGTGCTCTCATCCATAGTGACAATCTTTTCCGAGTATCAAGAACTATCAAGTGTCATCGGGTAACGGCGAGCAAGAGGGAGAGACCACCACTGAGCTGGTTCTAAGGAAAAGCCGGGAACGACTCACCGGTGGTTTCAAGCACAGAATGGGGTTTCCCCCTCTATGTCAGTTGGCTTGCCAGTGGCGCAACTGATACTTCCGAGGGTTTTTTCCCCCTTGGATCAGTTGCGCCACTAGCAAGCCATTAACGTAGAAATATCATCCATAAAATGAAAGAAAAAACAGAACGAGCTGGGGGAATGAATGCCGGTGAAAGAAAAGCTTGCCAAAATCATGTAAACTACCCATCCGGGGGAAGCTGCCGCCATAGATATCAAAGCCCAGCAAGAACTGGTGATACCCTATCTATGTCTGGTCAAGAATATTGGCTTTCCCACGGTCTTCTCTCCTCGATTGTTGAAGAGAGAAGGAAGCTCCATGTAGACGGAAGAGGCAGATATTAGGAGTAGCCTCCATATTTTTCATAGTTTTTCGTGCAAGTGTGGACAGGCCATATCTGCAGGGACCGAGCGACCTGCACGTTGCAGGGCTGGCTAACCAGAAGAAACAAGATTTGCTGAAATCTTGGGCAAATGGCAGCACGTGAATAGAGAGACATTAAGGGCCGGGGGGTGGGCGAAGGCGAGGGGAGCTAGGCGTTGATTCCAACGTTGAAAAGATGACTGCCTTTTTTTCGAAATTTGTAAAATCCGTAGGCTATATACACTTGAAAGGCGAACTCACGGGAGTGCAGTTCCACGGGCTTACTGAACCTCGTTTTCTCTCTCTGACTCCTCTCATAAGATCGAGGGTTTCCCTACCCTCTGCCACCACGGAGTCCAACAATAACAAACCTAACCCTAACCCTCAGTATGCCACGAAAGGAAACAAACACCCGGTTATCACCAAAACTCACGAACTCGTAGGGGGGATGACAAAACCGCGATTGACAGTAATGGGCTAGGGAGAGAGAGAGGATCCATACCGAGAGAAGAGGGTACCGCAGTCGCAGCGGTACTCCCTGGTGCCGCAGGTCTTGGAGTGGGCCTTCCAGTCGGACTGCACGGCGTAGCGCTTGGAGCACTTCTCGCACTTCCACTTCTTCTCCCCGTGCTTCCTCAAGTAGTGCTTCTTGATGCCGGTGAGGTCACCGAGGGCGCGGGACGGGTCGTGGTGGACGCAGGTGGGTTCTGGGCAGAGGTAGACCCGCTTCTTCACCTCCTTTGTACTCTTCTGCCGCAGCTTCCAGGGAAGGTTGTGGCCTCTCCGATGCAACTGCAGATTCTGCTCCCTCTGGAAGCCCTTGTTACACACTTCGCATATGAATCTGTTCGTCGCCATCAGAGTCTTGGGCGACAAAGCTATCACCTCCGCGTCCGGATCTGTGGATGATTCTTCAGCGTGAGTTTTTTGAGATCGATATTGAAATTCACCGGTAAATAATGCAGGAGAACAATCCAGATACAATGGAGAGAAGAGATGGAAGAGAGAAAAACATCTGATGGGTTGGAGGAGGGATTTTCTCCATGTACTTGTGAAATAAGATTGAAACACGAACAAGAATAATTTAGATGGAGTGACGAGAAGAGATAGAAGAGATATGGTTTCTATAAGTCTAATAAAAGACGAACTTTTTCCAACTAAGCCGTGAAATAAGAGAGAAACATGAAGTCCGTACAGTTTAAATAAGAAGAAAAAACTCAACAGGACTCAACAGGAGGAAGAATTCAATTGTCTTGGGTTCACCTGAGTTGATTTGGAATGATACTAGAATAAAATAGATGGCGGCCATCATCAACACAAGAAGATATTGGAAACTCGCTTGGATTTGGGGCAATCGAAGATGGGATCATTTGATGAGTGTAAGAGAGATAAGAAGAATGAAAGTACGAAAAAAAAATCCTTTGAGGAGGGCCGTTGCTCCAACTCCAATGATAGAGATTGTGGGCCTTTTCTTTTAATCAGAGATTTGAAGGCCTGAGAAGAAAACCATGGAATGAAATGGATTTGAGAAAACCACTCATGCAGCCACACGTAGAGATATCTTCCTTCCGACGAAATTACTTTGGAATCAAGAGGAGCGAGACATGACTAAGTATGACGAGCTGGTGTGTAGATACTTGCTTGGTGTTCCAGGAAGATTTCTCTTTTTCTTCTGGGGGGCTGTCGGCGGAGCAGCTGCAGAAGAAGGTGGTGTTGATGAAGACTGCTGCTGCTTCATCTGATGATGAAGATCTTCTTCTCTCATGCCAAAGAAAGATGACGATGATGATGCCGCTGCCATCTTCGATCTAAAACAAAATCTCCAACTCCGTTATTTCTTCTCTTCTTTCTTCTTCCCTATGTTGTTGTCTTCAGTCCAAATCGAACCACAGGACTCGTAGAGGTCGCACCGCCACCTAACTTTTTTCCTAAAACTTTGTGATTCTCTCAGCTATCTGTCTCTTTCTGTTTCCTGAAATCTGAAGAGAACTAAAAACCACGGGAAGGGGAAAACGAAGGCCCAAGAGATCTACCGAGCACAAGAGCCGTCACAAAAGCCTCCAAACCCCATCCGAGGAGTTCTCTGAGATCAACAAACAAACAAAGGAAAGCGGAAAATCAAGCGCACAGTTGCACTCAGAACTATCGCAGAGGGAGAGAGAGAAGGAGACAGGCAGAGAGAGAGAGAGAGAGAGAGAGAGAGAGAGAGAGAGAGAGAGAGAGAGAGAGAGAGAGAGAGAGAGAGAGAGAGAGGGAGGGAGGGAGAGAACAAAACATGGAAAAGAAAAAAACAAGTCAAGACACAGAGCGCTTCTCTTCTTTCTCTCTTCTTCCTCCCCCTCCTCTATACCTCCCTTTGCCCTAACAATCTTTATTATTGGGGCTCTGGTGATAGTGTGGGGAGTGAGGGTTGTTTGTTTCCCTCCAATTTTATTATCATTAGTCTCTTTCTCCCTCTGGTACTGTAGTACTCTTGGGGCATTTCCCCAAACCCGTGGTACCCACAAGCCCTGTAAAAAAGTATAAAAAAATTACGTAAAAATTACGGAGAGAGAGAGAGGGAAGGAAGATAGATAGATAGATAGATAGAGAGAGAGAGAGAGAGAGAGAGAGAGAGAGAAGGCTCGTGACGGCCGTCTCTCACAGGCAAGCTATGTCGCTATGTGGCAAAGGATGGGGGCCACCAACCCCCTATAGGCCTTACCCTCTCCCACAATTCTCATCTCCACATCAACTCTTGTGAAAAAGAAATACTAACTTGATGTGAAATCAAAACCAAATTTTTTACCGAGTTTTTATATTCCTGTGTAGTCAAATACACCCACCGAACCCATTAGATCACACTGATCGTGGATTGATTGTACTTCATTGGGACATATTCTTGCAAAAAAAAAAACATTTTTTGAACATGAAATCAAGTAGGATACTACTTAAAGAAGACTCGTCAACTAGATGATGTTATCCACCAGTTTCTCTCGCCAGACTCTCGCACGCTTCCCCCTGAGGGGAGAAGCTCACTGGAAGAGAGGCCACCGGAATGCACCCTTGTATATCTGCGTGTCGTCGGCAATCGCATCACCTCTTGGCGTCGATCTCTGCTGGGCAGATTTCCCTCTGTTTGGATCATCGCTTCCCCCTCACCTCGATCCAATGTAAACTGAATACGATGGAGTATAAACCTACAGCGGGTTTTTGATCAACGAAGAAAGTTTCTCTTTCTTCATTGTAGGTTTTCATATCCACTAATTGGCGTCCAGTGATTCCTTTTCTCCTTCTTTCTCTACTCTTTCCTGCAAACTTCCAACGCTATGACACCTATGAGGGCTTCGCTCCGTGCCATGTCCCCCTTGTTGGCTCTTACTTCCAATCCTCCCAACTTCCTCCCTCCCTCCATCTTAAATCACTACGAATAAGTAGTAGAAAGGACAAGAGAAGCGGCGTTTGGTTTTGTAAGCTTGCGAGTTCCGCCCCTCCTTTCGTTGAGCAGCTCCCTTCCCATCTCGCTCATTCAATAGCAGCTTGCCACCGCGCGAGAACACAACAAGCAGAATTCGCTGCTTTCTAACACGAAGACGAAAGCCCTCCGTACTCCATTGATTCCCTTCAAAGCCCAAACTTTCCGTGAAATATTATCCTCGGAGGTCGCCGTTCTCTCCGTATGGGCTTTCGACGAGCAGCCTTCGGACCCAAGGCTGGGGGGAAATCAGAAACCGCAGCAACCCAGTTCGCCAAAACCCTAGCCAATCGACATCGTCAAGACAGCTAGGTTGGTCTGGGAAGCGAACACAGGCCTTTCAACTGGAAACTGATCGGTGGTCGTTCTAACGTCGTTCGATGTAGAATTCTTCTACGGTATTTATTCACACGGACAGCAGTAGGAGTGTCGCAAATCTGGAACATAGACCCCAGTTTAGATATGAAGTGAGATAATCAGAACGTTCAAGTCAAAACAAATGGACGGCGATCGCGATAGGTCCCTATATTGTAATCAAATGCTGAACTTGTCTACGTCCAAGAGAGGATAATACTCCAGCCTCTCTCTTAGTCACGTTCTCCTCGAAGATGCCCGGCGGTCAAAATGTTCGTCATCTGCAAGCTGGGCTTATCTTAAAATAATAGAGCATGTTCTGAATCATCGTATCATACGCACACCAACGGGGGAATTTCGCCGGCGGCAGGTTTAGACAGAGAGCAAGATAAAGACAGCGGGGGGAGCAAAGCTACAACGAAACCAGCGCCTACACATTCCCTCGGGGGTATTCCTCGTGCAAATACCAGCGTGGAGGCGTAATATAGCGCGTGAGATGGCTCTAAAAATGATAATCGAGGGTTTTATTGGTATAGGTATCACTGTCTGATGGGGAATATAGTGTGGGCCCACGAGCACTTAAATAAGTCCATGAAAGGCAGAGAGGATGGGAAAGCTACAAAGATGTCACCTTTCTGCGCGCCTATGAACGGTTGATCGGGTATCGTCATGGCGAAAGGGGAGCGCTGAAGTCCCTCTCACATGCAGAGTTAAAGATTACAAGGGAGAAAACTAAGGGAATATTGGGTGGTTGGAACGATTCCTACGCTGAACTGGATACCCACGGCTCGCCTTTCTCTTTCATTTCTTTTGGTTTGGCGTGATGCCTTTCTGTTTGTAATTACTATATGCTTAGAGAGAGAGAGATTAAGTAAGTTCTTAATTACAACTCGCGAGTTTTTCTTTCGACTGCGTGTAGACGGGTCTCACTGCCGCAACGACTTCTGAAAAAAACATCTTCTAACAAATGCATAAATTCGTCTTGCTTTCGGAATCGAATTTTTAAAATTACTCATTTTCCTTGAAGGAAATATGAGAGAGAAAGAGATTAATAATTAAGGTTTAAATTTTATTCATCATATTCCCTTTCAAATCGGTAGACGGATGTTGGTTGCTTCATCAATTGACAGCGAATCGCTGTTTATGATAAAATATACATACAGATGAGAGAGAGAGAGAGAGAGAGAGAGAGAGAGCAGTCAACTCGGAAAGAGAGACATCCTCATGGAAAATAGCACTGAAAGAATATACATTAAATACACTTTCTAACACATTTGGGCAAAAAGTCATAATCCCACCAAATCACAAACCATCAACGATCCCGTGCCAAATTATCTCGATTCAATTTTTTTGGTTCGGACGCTTTGAAAAGTGCATCTCCATATTTTTGTCCACACTTCGCTTTTGAGAAAGCCCCTGGCAGGTTATCTTTTCGAAGATGTTATGTTCCCGGCGGAGGCTCTCTTTCTGAATATCCTCCGCAGCTTACGGCTTAAAGAGACGAAACAGCAAGCAGACTGCTCTCTCCGCTGATGCTAACATGCCCCGTGTCTTTCTTCTCGGGAAGGCATGGTCCTCACTAGGGCTCTCGGAGCGGTGGCAGAAAGCAGATGGATGCTAGAAATCAAAACGTATTCATATCCAGGGTTTGTCTCCATGCTAGGTGTGTCGGTTGCACCTTGGTGTTCACATTCCACAGAATAGTCGCCTAGTCTTTGGGTATGACTGGGCAGAGTTGAGCCAGCACGCGGGCCCACATTTTTAGGAGGGACAAACCTTCTAGATCCGCCAGAGGCGATGAACTTGAGAGAAGAGAGCGAGAAACCTGTCTAACAGCACATATTCTCTTCACAAGTCCACTACATGAGTGTTATGAAGTGTAAGAGGAATCGCTCTTTCAGATAAATTTTGCCTACGTCGACACTGATTCTCTATTATGCCACTAATATCCTCAAGAATCTCCTAGAATAAGGGGCAAGTCTACTAGAAATGTGTCTCTAAACTCTACCACATGTGCTCTATTTCATTTGTCTTCTCAAAAACATCAGTCTTTATTCTGGGGGGAAGTTTGTAGCCAAACGGTGTGTAGTATCTTGCATTCAAAACCAAAAAGCAGAGTGCTTTTCTCTTACTCATGCCTATTTTAAGACTGGGTTCTCTTCGCAGCATAGTATCTTGGAGTATTCTTCCTGAAATTATGATTATACAGAGCTTAGAAGAGTTACTATGCGTCTAACGTACGTGTTACAATAGTTTTACATTGGTTGGATAAAATAGGATAGCTTATAAAAGGTCTACTTGCCCTAGTCATCGACCATTCATTTTGAGTTCGATAATCCAATTCTTTCACATTTTCTTCTGATTCTTAATTATGATTTTTTTTCTACCTAAACCATTGAGAGTGAGTGAGTGAGTGAGTGAGTGAGAGTGAGTGAGTGAGTGAGAGAGAGAGAGAGAGAGAGAGAGAGAGAGAGAGAGAGAGAGAGAGAGAGAGAGATTGAAGAATTTCTTGGGAGTACCCAGTCACTTTTCCATGGGCAAACAAATTTTGATCAGTCTGTAACACCTAGCAAAATAATTTTGGTCTCGTCAACTTGGATCATGCTCACATTCTCATGCCACATTCAAATATTTTCTGATCTTGGGAGATATTAATGTACATAGTCTTCTAGATGCTCTTACATCGTCCACATTCGAGACTTATTTTTCAACAACTTGTTCTAATGTTATGTTTTGTATGGAGTTGGACTTAACATAGTTCCTTAAAGACACTCTAGAAAGGTGCTCGTAATACCAAACAAAACGTTATGTTTTATCCCGTAAAATATTAACAAATCCCTGTCAACATTATATTTTAGTCATGGCAAAAAATCCAAGACCCAATTGATCTCTTGTCATGTGATATTTTTATGTGTATATATTATCACATCCTTTTCTAGTAAGGTAGATTCTTACCTTATTATAGCTGAGATCCCAGTAACTTTGAGATGGCCTCGGTCCAATCTGTCTGGTCCCCCTGTACAGCGTTTCGTGATGGCATGAAAGTGAAGTGATTCGCGAGCCAACGTGAATGGGAATCACAGACGATAAGGACAAGGACAACGGAACAGAGAGAGGATGAAGCTAGTTTGATACGATATCTGGACCTATGCCAGGACATACTGTGAAGGCAGAAGAAGAGAAACCCGACCTTTCAGAGCTGCGTGAGAGGAAGGATGCTCTCTCTCTCTCTCTCTCTCTCTCTCTCTCTCTCTCTCTCTCTCTCTCTCTCCCCCTTTCTCCCCTCCCTCCCCTCCACTCACCGTCGGCTTCGCCGTTCGCCACGGATTCTCTCTCTCTCCCTCTCTTTCCACACCTCTCATCAGTCACCGTCGGCTGAGGCCACCTTCAGCGTTTGCTGCTGACTGTCTCCCCTCTCTCTCACCGTCCCTACCTCCCTCGCAGGATGAGTACGTTACAGCAGAAGGCTTGTCGAGCACGGCGTAGTACTGGTGATAAGTGTGAAGACTAATGTACGTAGAAAGACTGTTCATTTTGTGTGACAATCTTATGAATTGATAAAATATATACAGCTAGAAAATGTTAGCATGACTTAGCCATTTCAGCCGAATTCAACGGATGGATTCCTGGGGGAAGAGCTCCATCTGGTCGGCATCCCCGTCGTGTGTTTCGTTCAGCGGTCTAGGAGTTTATTAGCCGCTGCTGGTCACATCAGTCTCAGACGTCTGATCGTTCGCAAGTGGGCGTACTTGAAGGGGAACTTGCCCGGTAAATCTGAGCGCATGGAGGATAACCCTTGGAACGGTTTCGGTAGATTGCGGTTCAGATTTCCACGGTGAAGTGGATAGAGAGAGAGAGAGAGAGGGGAAGAGAGAGAGAGAGAGAGAGAGGTCAGTGGTGACTACCATCCATGTCGCTAGAAATTTAATCAAACAGATATCAAAAGCTAAGCTTTAATACGCGATGGTTTCGTATCGAGAGATATAGGAGGCCAGCAGCGCTGGAATTTAGCTGCATAGGTGCACAGTAAGACACCTATGAACGAGGCTAGAGATGGAGAGAAAAATATATGTGCATATATAGACATCTATACGCCGATCCCTGCAACAACGAGTCGGCCCGCCATCTACATGATTGTTTTCCTCTGGATAATCTCACATCTCGCCGTAACCTGCAACCGTTGTCCTTTCTTTAGGAGCTTTCAATCCCTTCTCTTATAGAAGAATAACTGAAGCACAACCTTCCCGAGCACCACGAGAGGAGGAAGGATTCCCCCAGCTCTCTCTCTCTCTCTCTCTCTAGGACTGACGATCACAGTTCAACTTGCTTGGAAGTATGAGGACAGCATGTCGTGTCTCGAAGGTCTTTCTCGATCTAACAGCGCCTTGACCTCCATGTCTGACATGATAGGCATCAACGTGGCCACTGTAGACTGAATCCGCGGGAAACGACGAACACGGAGCCGTTTTCAGGCACTTACCTCAAATCCAAGGACCAACCCCACCCCCACCCCCACCCCCACCCCCACCCCCCGGCATTGACTTTGCAACGTCACGTCTTCCCTCGCCTGGATTCAAAATATCTCAGAATAGATCCTTCCAACCTTGTAGGCATACCATCCTTAATTAGTTCCAGCTCCGCCGATAAACCTTTCGTTATCATAAATCTCTTCAGTCTATCTTTGTTACCGTTCCTATGAATCGTCCAATCCTGAGGTCAAAGCACACAAAATAAAATAAAATAAAATAAAAAATAAAAATCAATCAAAGGGTTCTATAGATAATGTATGGATTCGAATAAATGAACCCATAAGAGAATATACACCATCTTAGACCAACCCATGTGAAGGAAATTAGATAAACGCCATCGAGATTGGTGTGCTCACTCGAAGACAAGGGAACTCGACAACCATTATGAACTTCCCTCCTTTTATACCGTACATGGGCTGTAGATGGTACACTGAATTCAACTTTGTTGATGTAGGAGACAAAGGCCTAGTTTTTGCCACAATGTGGACCCTACTTAGAATAAGGAAGACAACGAAAGATTTGCCCATTCACATATTATAATCTTATCTTTATATGATCAATGGATTAGGTCATTAAAAAAAGAAGAAGCAGTTGATCGATGATATGCATAATTCCAGATATAGTAATGATATTTTAGTTTTCAATACGATGATACCCATTAAAGTATTCATTTTGACTCGTGGGTATTGCGTTAGGTAACCAGCATAGCTCAAAACACTCTGGGCCTTGGAGAGGAGCATTTCATATTTTATTAATACACTTATCTCTTAGTAGGACCTTGGTCTAGTTCATGAATTATTTTATTTTATTTTAGTTGTGGGAAGAGAAAAAAAATTCACCGTGTTACTACTTGAAGGAAGTTGTAAGACGACCGACCGCTGCGCTCGTCGTGTAGGCGGCGGCGCCAAGCGGTCGGCGAGGAGATTCCGCGACAGCTATTGGGGCCCACGACACCGGCTCGGAAGCCGCGACACCGCCGACTGCGCAGAAGACGCCTGGGCCCCACTATTCGCGTATTTAAATAATAATTATAATTCGATGCTTTTCATGCGGTCGTCCGTCCTGTCAACCCAACTCAGGCACACCAAACCCAACTCAGCCTTGCCTTTTCTCTCTCTTCCCCGTGCTCTCTCTCTCTAGGTTTTTTTTACCGCAGGCGTTTGGCTCGAATCTATCTGGTTTGCACGTGAGTGGGGGCACGTGACGGGGGAACAGCAATAGGTCCGGGGACAGCGAGGCCCACGTGTGAGCCCCCCCAAGTGGTTGCACGTGATGATGGAGACACGTGAGTTGTGACCCCCCCCCCCCGCATGTGGTGCAGACTATTAGACTGTCCTGATGGGGACATGGGAAGGAGCTGAGCAATAAGGAGAGGCCGCGTTAGAGAGAGATAGAGAGGGAGAGAGCTAGATAGAGAGAGAGAGAGAGAGAGAGGGAAGGAGAGAGAGAGAGGGTTCTCCGTGATGAAGCGGGGATCGGAAAGACTAAGAGGAAGGAGATGATCCATTGAGAGCGGCGCATGGCGATGAAGGAAAGCGGACAGAGGGGAAACTGCTCCACGGGATGGACACCCGGTGCAACAGCTCTCGGCTACGCTACAAAAGAAAGATTCCCCACCCCCCCTCCCTCTCTCCCTCTCAATCCATGCACTGGAGAGAGAGAGAGAGAGAGAGATGAATCCTTAGTCAGTAAGGATTTCGCTGTTTAAGAGGAAGCGGAGAAGGTCACGTCGAAACAATCCCATCCCCTGCAAAGGTTTAATCAACATTACACGCGGACGATATCCTTCTTACTAATCTCTCTCTCTCTCGTTATGTATATGTATATCTCTCTCTCTATGTCCAGGGGCGCAATTCGTGTGATACACGTGTGTATGATGTTGCTCGCACGTGAACCTGTAGAGGAGAGCTGTCTGCGCTGAGCTGGTAGCGCCGGCAAATGGACCACCGTCAACCCCGCCTGCCGCTCGGACTTGACAGTGGGCACGTGGACATGCTCGAGGGAATCTTGTTCTCCATGCATAAAGACGTTCCTCTCGTTTCTTCCCCTTTTTAGGACACGACTACAGAGAGAGAGAGAGGAACGTGAATCGAGCTCCGATATGGTGGGAGTCGGCTTTTAGTCCTCTCTATGGTCAACGACCCCAGCGTGCTTTAATGGGCTTGTATTGGGCTCTCTTTTTACTCCAGCCCATGAAGACGCACGGGCTGATTTAATGCCCCGGGACAAATCAGAGCCCAATTGCCAAGAAGCCCGCCGACTTCCTTCCAAGCCAAGGCGGATGAGGTGGATTATCAGCTACACTATAGGTCGATCATCGTTGACTTTTCTGTTGACCCCATCGCGGTCGTCTTGCCCCACTCCCCTTCTACTATTCACATGTTCATAATCCACAAGATTTCCAATAAAGTCCAAAGGACGGCTTCGTAATAGCAACCGAGATAATTAAATTTATCTAAACTCGGTATATCCGGAAGCCATGACCTCTTTTAATGGGTTTCCATTATTGGGCCCGCTCGTTCAGAAATGTTCCTTTCAGTCCAATTAAATAACTCGGCCCATTCGGCTCAATATAATATTTGGGGGTTACTGTGGGTGGGGCCGAGAGTGAGTGAGTGAGTGTGTGTGTGTGTGTGTGTGTGTGAGAGAGAGAGAGAGAGAGAGAGAGAGAGAGAGAGGCTTACTAGGCCAAATTGAAATATATCTAGTCTCATTAGAAATTTAATTAATTTTTAACGCGATTAAAACTAAATAAACGTACACTTATGGAATAAATAGTAGTTTCTAATGGACGGTTTTCTAGGATATATATAAATATCTATGTATATATACACAATATCAATTAAATAAGGGAGTGAATGCGCGTGAGTGACGTAAGGATGGAAACGATCAAGAGCACTGACCCGTTCTCTTCCTTCCACGTGGCTCATCCAAGGGTTCGGAGTGCTCGTGATCGGACGGTGGGATCGTGGGGATGGAGTTCGGGAAGATCAGAACCGTCGAAATGGTGCTTCCCGTAGGGATCAAGCACCAGGCGTCCAGAGGCTTCCACAAAATCAACGACTTTTAATTCTCTAACTTCGTCGAGGGGATCATCTTCCTTCCGCCTTCGCTGACTCCGACATTTTCCCGGCCTCCTTTCCCCTCCCCCCCCTCGCCGGTCGCCCAGTTTTTCGCTGCGGGAGGAACGGGTGATCCCTTTGGCTGAGAGCGCTGTGATCTCATCGCCGGCGGCGGGTCTCCCATGGCTACCATGGGAAACAACAACATAAATGCGAAGCTGGTGGGTGGTCAAATTTCTGCGCCTCTCTATTTCTAACCTCCGATCGGATCTCAGGTTTTTATGTTTCTTTGAGAGATGCCGTTGGCTCTTTGTGATCGCCGATTTATTTGGTTCCCTGCCTATTTGGAGAATTTACCAGGTGCTTCTGGGGGACATGGGCGCTGGAAAGTCCAGCCTCGTTCTGCGCTTCGTGAAGGGCCAGTTCCTTGAATTCCAGGTCATTTTCCTTGCTCTACTTTCTGATGATTTCCGTTTTCTCGATGTTGTGTACGGTTTTGGGATTTGAATCGGGTGTTTGCAGTTAGGCTCATATCTTTTTCCTTTTCTTCCGCAGGAGTCGACCATTGGGGCGGCGTTCTTCTCGCAGACGTTGGCCGTGAACGATGCCACCGTTAAGTTTGAAATTTGGGACACGGCTGGGCAGGAGAGGTACCACAGCTTGGCTCCCATGTACTACAGGGGCGCAGCGGCGGCCATCATCGTGTATGACATCACCAGCACGGTACGACCAGTTTCCTCCAAAATTTGGAAATTACTCGTGTGGCCTTGTGCCAAAAAATCACTCTAAAGTTTTCTTTGCATTTCAGGATTCATTTGCCCGGGCAAAGAAATGGGTACTAGAGCTTCAAAAACAAGGTTAAGTTTGTCAAAATATTTTTCTCGTTTCTGCTGTGTGTTTCTTTTAGAGCATGTGAGTATTTCGAATGTTGCCTATTGGAAATTTGACAATTTTGGATGCAGGTAACCCAAATATGGTGACTGCTCTTGCCGGAAATAAGGCTGATTTAGAAGACAAAAGAAAAGTGACAGCAGAGGCATGTGCCTTGACCCATTCTTCTTCACTATCCATTTTCTGATTTATTCTTATTCCGAAACTGCCTTAGTGGTGATAAATCCTATTATGTTTGAAACTTAGCATTTGCTACTCCTTTTCTTCATGTCTTCCATTTTCTGAAATTTTGGATTTATTCAAGTCTTCATGTTAGTCTCCCTTTTGTTTCAATTTTCCATTTTTTATTATGGTCTGAGGATCACAGAAATTTGGACCACTAGGTGCTTCGTATTTCATGTGTATTATCTTAACAAGATGACAGTTGTGTATTTATAATACAGAAGTCTCTGCTTTATTACTTTATTGTACTAATATTCGACTGATGCACTGTTACTCCTTAAGTTTGATTGCATATACGTTTTTGCCCATCCGGATCATTCCCTTGAAACTAAGAACATGAAATGGTGCACAGTGATGCCAAGTTTTTGCCTTCAATGAGGCCACGGCATCATCTACCAAATATCATGGGAGATATTTGAAGATTTGTTTTGGGATTTTACTTATCAGGCACATGACATTTTGTGTGCTTCGTGTTATTTCGGGCTGCGGGGACTACAAGATGTCAGTGATATGTGTGAAGGGATAAAAAACGAGTTTCTGACGTTACCCCATTTGGAGCGTCCTTCTATATACGACGATCATTTAGGTCTTCGCTCGAATATTGTGCAATTTAAGGGAGGAGTGTTCACGAGGTGAAAATCATGACTTAGTACTGTGGCACGTTTGATGGGACAATAACATAACTTTCATTCGTTGTTACTTGATAACTTTTTACCTTTCTCCTTCCTAATTGGAGAAAAAAATTCCTTCTAGTTGATGCCAACTGCCATAGTATTCGGTCGTATCTTTTTGTACCCAATCATGAGGCCCAATCCGGAGATTCAGATACATTTGAATTTATTGGAAAGATTCCACAAAAGCACTCCAATACTATGAGGTTTACGCTTTAGGGTGTTCAACTCTGTGACGTTATTGCCTTTCTCCTCTTTAATTGACTGCTCTTTCTATCTTTTTCATTTTGGTGAAAGTCTTCCTCTCCACAATAGGGTTTTACTTACCTGTTTCTTACCAAATTACTACGTCTCTCTTACTAAAATGTGTTTTTCTCTTTCTAGGAGGAATCTTGATAGGATCAAAGAGTTGTGGCATATTTCTAATTTCCTTCTTATTATCCTCTGAGAAATGAGCAAACATGTTGATCTCCGATGATCTTTACAATTGCAATGAATCTATAAAAGCACGAGTTCTGTTGATATTCCGTCCTTTGATAGACTTTCTCTAGTTTTTTGTTGTTAATTCTTGGCTTTAGCCTTAAAAAATTGTCGTCAGAATAGCATCTGGCTCTTTAGGCCTTATTGGCACTGTGTTTGCAATCAGATAGCCTTTACCCTGCTCACTCTAATTGGTTAGTCTAGACGGATGACCTAACCTAGCCTTCTGAAAGGCTATCCTTCCTCGTTGAACGTGGAGAAAGAAACAGAGAAGAACTCTGAGGGGGAAAAAAAAGAAGAAGTAAGAATATGGAAGTAGAACCTGCAGGTCGGGACAGAAATAGAGGAGAGAAAGAAAATAAGGAAGAGTCTGTTCCTTTATGCATTTTAGTTAGTTTGATTCAAGGAAAGGAAGACTCAAGAAAGAGCAAGGTGACCACTAATGGTCATCAATATGCCTTTTAGGTGAATTCTGGTTTTTTTTTTTTAATGTTCTCATTTGAGGGATTCCAACTGCATCAATTGTTCATCTGTGGGTTGTGTAGGGAATAGCAGAGAACAAGGAGGAATTTAGTTCAGCAGCCTTTGCCATTGCGGATTGTGGAAGTTCTGGAAGGAATGGCGCCATTTTGGCATAATATCTCTAACCTTATTAGAATAGTATGAATTCCTGGGCTACTTTAGCCCTAATTTCAATATCCTTTTATGCATTTCGTTTTTTGGTTGACAAATAGGAAAAGTGCAAGAGCAGGGCGACCATTTGTAGTCATCATCATTTCTTAGTGAATTGTGGCTTTCTTTTTGTTTTCATATTGGCTGTATATTTGGGATGCATATTTGAAAATTCTTGGCATATGCTTTATGTTTTGTTAAACCTGGACAAGGACATGATCGGATGGTCTCATGTTCTCAGTTATGTGTGGAACAGTCGTGGTTCTTGTGGATCATATAAGAACTTGTTAAACTTGTGATTTTGTGGGGCCTCATATTCTCATGGCATTACGTGCTTCTACCAACTTATTAAACCTCAAATCCCGGTTGTTTTAGTGGGGGAAATCATGATCACCAACAACACCATGCGGTGTGGGAAATGAGGGTCATGCTGAAACATATACGACATTTTTTTCTGTTACATATCCTTGCATGGTCGATTTCTGGCGTGTTATATTTCATTTTCTGCATTGTTTTGAATTTTATGCCTAAGAAAGATTGCTATGAACTTGAGCAGGTGCACTTTCCTTTGCTATTGTTGTCAGTTTCTAAAGTTACTGGTTCATGATTGTCCTTGCAGGAAGCGCGTGCTTATGCTGAAGAGAATGACCTTTTCTTCATGGAAACCTCCGCAAAAACTGCAATCAACGTCAATGACATATTTTATGAGATAGGTAGGTACTGCTGTCTTCTTTTATTATTATTGCTGCCTCATCACTCGCTATCCCACAAACTAAAAAATTCTCGTTGTTCTCTCAGTTTCTTTTTGGAAGGTCTCTTCTTTCTGAATCTCGTGTGCATTTCTTCAGTGAATCGCCATAGCGTAGTGCTTTTTTGGCGTGCCAGTCACGAAGCAACTATCAGTCCACTCATGGGTGGAACTGGGTGGAGCATCTTATGGATACCTTCTCTATAGATTTGGAAAGTTTTACTTACCTGTGTTTCAGAGTTGAATCGTTGTCGACGATGAGCCTCAAGTGGATGGTAGTTTCATGGACGGTATCGCTTAGCTGCAGTAGGGCATTTAAGATTCGGGGCAGCCGAGGTAGAAGGGGATCATTTTCCCGCAATGGACTCTAGGGACCAATCCCTTTCCGGGTAGGGATTGGAATCGGACCAATCCGCCTAGATGGGCAGTAGGTTTTCTTTCAGTAAATTTAATTTATTTAACATAAATGATATTGTCTTGAAAGAAGAAATTAGTTCTTGGGAGACCTTTTTAAAACGCTATAAATGCCTCTCTTTTTCAGAACCAGTCTCGAATCAATGAATTCCCTTGTTCCTGCCCAGCTCAACCATATCCGACCCTTTTCGGTTGATTTCTCGACCCCTTACTCGGTGGGAAGATTTTCTTTTGTGAAGATTTCATAATTTGTATAACATTTATTCGTTCCGCTTATTGATTCTCTGTCAGATTTATTTATTTTTCCATTCCTTTTTGTTTGAGTATCCTGGTCTGTTGTTCTTCGATCTCCCTCATCGTGCTTAAATGGTCCTGGATACTTGTTTGGGTACAGCAAGAAAGCTTCCCCGGGCTCAACCCGCTCAGAATCCGACGGGTATGGTTCTTGCCGACAGACAGGCGGAGAGGACAAGGACTTCCGCGTGCTGCTCGTAGGTCAATGGAGGCGGGTATCCGTCCGTCTTCGTGGGCTTCCCCGCCTGCTTTGGCGAGGTCAGCCGTGAACCCAGGTCTCTATTTCCGGAAGCTGTAAATGATTCCCGCGATGTGTGCTCATCATTCATCACTTCCCTCGTATTTTGTGTATGTGAAACTAAATAAAAGTAGTGAATCCGTCTCGTATGTTTTCTGGACTGTTGATGATGATATTATGAAGTGAATAGGGGCCACACCATGAACAGCCGATTCTAATGTGCGACGGTGTCATTCGATTTGCGGTGATTTCGAAGGGCAGGCTGATGGATGGGTGGAGAGAGAGAGAGAGATGGCGAGCTGCACGTAGGGGGATGCCAGGACAAAGAGAATGCGAGCAAGTAGAGAGAGAGAGAGAGAGAGAGATGGCGAGCTGCACTAGGGGGATGCCAGGACAAAGAGAATGCGAGCAAGTAGAGCGAGAGAGAGAGAGAGAGATGGCGAGCTGCACGTAGGGGGGTGCAAAGACAAATAGATTGTCACAGGGTTAACTCATTAGCCACATTTATCTACCTGTGTACAAACTAGCCTACATAGGAGTGCCAAATAAAAGGGTTGCACATTATTTCATAAAAAAATATGGATTACACAAGATGTGGGATGACTGGTCTGCTCAATCAAGTTGAACTCTGCCCCTTTTATAAGCGAGCCTATATCTGTGTGCATGTATACTCCTGTGCTGTTGTGCACTGCACCTACCCGTCCCCGTGTTGACACTACATACACATCGCGATACCACGGCTGCCAAAGTTCCCGCTAGCCGTCTACCCGTGGCACAATTCTCGTGAGCTTGCATTCTTCGGAAGTACCGCGTCATCCCCCATGCCCCATTCACTCATGCTGCATTGTTGAGGTTCACAACCTCTTGTGATCCTTGCTCTCACTATGGCGGAACTGTCTACCTGACTCTTGTGTGTCCATACACGAGCCTCACTGCTCCGTGCATGCTTGCGTCCTTGCCGCTGCGCTACCCCCACGCATGCTACGCATGCTACGCATGCCCGCCCATAGTGGTACATGCCTGTATGGGTTGCGCGCCGCGCCCATGTCCCTTGGATTCTAGGTGTGATTTTGTTCCTTGGATTGGCTTTCTTCACACTAGGGTTGTCACGTCCTCCCCCACCTATAAAATCTATCTTTATTAGAGGGTGCACTTCGAAGTATACCACTGTGGTTGTCGCATGCATAGCAGCGTATCTTCTATGGTAGTGGATACAAGCAGTGCATCCTTCGTGATACTGCTGCTTGCACCCTTCAAAGTTGCATGTGCGCACATCCATGCACGTGATGATGTAGAGTGCTGTGCATATGGGGTCCTTTGGACGTTTGATATGGAGAAAATATCTTATTATTTGGGTCCTAATAATGACAATGCAAGTGATTGCATCCCGCTTTAGTCAATCATGTAGGACTTACATCAGCTTAGACCCCTACACTACCATTGCGCTTTTCATCCTCATAATAAAGCATTGCTATGTTCTGTCAAAGATGCCCACTTGTGCCATATGAGGAAGTCTATCCCAAGATGACTTTGCATTCATCTATGGGCAAGACCAAAAAGTCTTCTAGGCCCTCCCATCTTATGATTGACATCAGGACCCCACATACTACACTCACTAGGATATGTGACTTTCAGTTGTTTGTCTTGATGTGTTCATCTCTCCATGACAATAGCCTATTTCTTAGAGAGAAAGCTGTAAGTTGCCCTCAATATCTACATCATTAGAGGCAGACTTACTCTTGACATAAAGCTCCACAAGGATGAATTGTCACCCATATGGAGTGGAATCTTCCATGTTCTATTATAGTGTTCCTGATAATATGATATTCTAAAGTAAAAATAATAAAAATGTATATTATTAACATTATTTCAAGATAAATAATATATAAACAAAATTTATATCAATATAGATATATATATATTTAAATTTAATAATTATATTTTTCTGTATAATATTTAAGTATTTATTTCTATACTTAAGATACAAAAGATACTTTGGCTATAAGACAAGGGTGGTTTAGTCTTATACATTTATAAGCCAACCCTAGGTCATTGTCTCCCTCCACAACTGTCAACTTTACATACACAAACACATTTATCTATATATATATATATATATATATATATATTTCATGCATCTTTTCTCTCCAACAATCTCCCCCTCTTCTCTTCTCCCTTTTCTTTTCCAAACTCTCTCCCTTTTTCTTGGTGTACCTCTCTTCTCTCTCAATCTTTTCTTGTTTGATAGACTGGAAATCATTCCCTACATCTTTCTTAATATCTTAGGTCTCTAGTTTCTAAGTTTTTAGTTAATTTTTGTGACTTTGTTGCTATCTTTTTTCACTCTTTCCCCCCTCCTTTGTTGACAATCTCTCACACCAATGAACCTCCCTTTCACAAATGAGAACTCTCCCTTGATCACGATTATTACTTTTTTATTTTTAGTCTTTCTCCCTCTCTCTCACATGACATCTTTGACTAGTCAACTTCCTTTGACTAATTGTCTCTACCTTTTTTTCTTTTCATGATGCATCATTTTCCCTTTCTTCTCTCTCTCCAATTGCCTCGCTCTTCTCTCTTTCCAAACACCCTTATCTCTTCTCTCTCTCTCTCTCTCCCCTCACCGTCTCTCTTTGATTGCCCTTATGTCTCCTTTCTCTCTTCTCTCTTTATTCTCTCTCTCGCTTTCTCCAACAGGAGTATCTTCATGGGCTTATGGATCCAACACAATGTCTTCTACTTGTAAGAGATAATAGAGATTCATCTTAAACCATAACTTTTGTTTTTATTTTTTTGTAACTTTTTTTATCTCTTTAGACAATAGATAATTTATCTCTATTATTATTATTTTCTAAATTATTTATCTTTTTAGATCGTGAGATTCGTATTAAAAATAGATCAAATTATCCCTTTGGATTTTATCTAGATTCACCTAATATTTCATAATGATATTTTAAGAGTTCTACTATAAATTTAAAATTGAGTCCATCATTTAACCTACAACAATGAGTGTGCAGTAATACTCAACCATGGATTTAACATAGGAGTATTGCTCTCAATTGCTAATGCCTCATGCATGGTCCAAGTGCATAGCATGTACATGCCCCCATTCCTATCCGCTCCTCCAAAAAATCCTTCACCCAATACGCACCACTACAAATGAAGTACCATTTTTTAGGAGGATCACTCAACTTTCCTTCATCATTAAGTCTACATTAGTCTTGGGTCAACCTTGGCTGCTCTTGCACATCTTGCTGCAGTTCCCCCAGCTATTGCTACCCCTAGCCACAACCGTCACCATTTTTGTGGCCTTGCTTGCCAATATCCTATTAGTTCCCTCATTGTTTGTCTGCCATGGGGCTAACATGGTGAGGTGAGATTCCTCAAACAAAACCTTACAACCAATGGTTAGTTTGAGAAGGTGAGGTCCGATGGGCCTAACATAGCAGGCACTCATTACACGAGGTGGCGTCATATATGACATCAGTTATGATTAGCAACATGATTAAATACTTATCCCACCTCACTTATTCTAATAATGAAAAGGCTTAAATCCTCTAAAAAAAAAATTGACGCCTAATGTAGGCAATACCAATACTTGTACTTTTAGCTGAAAATTCTTGGTCATGAAATTTTACGTTGGTTGGGGGTCTCAAGTATGCTTAATGCAGGCATGCTATTGAAGCGTTCTAGAAAGCAAATATGTGACAAAATAATATAAGAGCACGGTGTCATTATGTAGGTCAGGTCACTACTTTATATTCCTTTTTCTCTTATAAAGAAGAAAGATAATGTACCATGAAAAGAGGGTGAAACCAAGAACCAACAAATTCTCTACTGTGAAAAGGTGGCATAATTTGTTGTGGGCATGTTGTAAAAGCCATGGGGGGCCAAAATCAAGAAATCAAGGCTTGATTCTAGGTGTCGAAGGAATGAGTCAAAAGACCTACAAGCAATGGCTTGTAAAGTCATTGCATGTACAAACATGTGGACAAAATTTGAGGATTGAAGAAGTTTATGTGAAATAGTAGATAATCTCATAGAGGATATGCCACAAGTGAGGTGCCAACAAAATAATGTGTCAATAGGGTTAATACAATGGCCATATTAGTGTATACTAGTGACTAATAGTCTCCCCCTACTGATGCATTGCTTTATTGATGCTTCGATTGTGTCACCTTCCATGTGAAGTTATCTGCTGGTTTAAATATACCTCTTCAATTCTATGTGATGCTTTGACATGTTAGTGCAGGCAATGACTTCATAACTTGTTTTTTTGTAGAGCCTCGACTCATTCCTCTGATGTTTGGAATTGAGCCTTGATCTCTTGAATTTGGATGTTCAAGGCCTCTATGGTCGCAACAGATTCCATCATCTTATCTTCAAAGCATACAATTTGCTAACTATTGGTCCCATTCTCCTTAACCATGCTATATTACCCATCCTCTTTTAAGGAAAAAAATAATAAGAAGTAGCTACCTGACTTGGAAAATCAAAATTGTGTTTTGACACCACTTTGTCACACAATTATTTACCAAAATACTTTGAGTGTGTGCTGGTATTGGACATCCTTGCAACACAACTATTCTAAACTTTCATATTGAGACTTTTAGCTCAAAAGATGACTCATTTTATCACATTATTTAAGGTACTCTTTGTGTTAAGTTTCTAATCCTTTTTATAGAGGGTTAGGTCCCTTGATTATTGAAATAAGTGATGTAGGGTTAATAGTTAATCCCACTAATAATCCTAATTGATGTAACATATGACTTCATACCGTACCATTTATGCACATTCACTATGTCATGTCATGCACACTTGTGGTCCCCTAGCTTGCCCACATAATCATTGGCCATGAGGTTCTGCTTGAGGAATCTCACCTTGTCGTGTTAGCCACATGGCTATGTGCAGTAGTCCACTAATAGTTAACCACCACCACAAGTGACTGGATATCTTGTAGACTTTGACGACACATCTTTACACTCAATCAAATATCCAGATCGAACATAAAGGTTAAGAGATGGTCTTCTTTTAATATGATCTTAATGTCCATGAGCAACAAAGTGAGTTACTTTGCGTATTTCCTTATTGGCTAGTATGGCAGAGCCAATAGAACGTGCCCTCAGTCATCTAAGTGTAGTTTGTGAGGATGAGCTGATCTTTTGGCTCATTCACAAGCTCCTCCCTCCCATGTGGCAATGAGAACTTTGGCTAGGTCCCTCGTATGGAACTACCATCACCACAACTTGGAGTCTCTTGAGAGGTATATGCTTGCAAGCATGAAATACTCAGCCTTTGGTGTGTGCCTCACCTTAAAGTATTACTTGAGATCCTGAATGAAGTTCTCAACATCCTTAAACTTAGAGAGCTTAACGCACAACACCTTGCTCATTGAAGATGCACCCACAATCATACGCTCCATCAATGTCATGTCTATTAAGAAGGCCTGCATCACCAATGTGTACAATGACCTCCAATGTGACCACTTGCATATCCTGAAGCAGTTTTTCCATGGGTTGGAGACAATTCCCAATCTCCTATGTGACAGCATACACAATGAAAAGGCACCCCTTCACACTAGCGAGGCCTTGCCCTTATGTGCCATATTTTCCCAACAACATCAAACTCTAATCTGATACCAGCTTGTCACATGGGTAACTACTTAACTACAGCATCAATCCATGCGATCATCGTTGGCTGACCTTGCACAAGAGTTTCAAACGAAGTGGACTCTTTCACAAAAAGAGATGTTACAAGAGATGTGAGCTGATCTAAATGCAGAGTTAAGTTTGCCCATTTCATAAGGGAGAACGAGAACCCGAAGAGTCCCATGCACTACCAACTTCCCATATCTCACTTGGCACTTCATGTTTTCCCTTATGTCACTTGGATCTTGACACTTAACCTCTCAGTCGAATCCCATTCAGCTGCATGCACGTGGCTCTCCTGCAGCCTCTATAGCGCCCAAGGGAATGGTAGTGCTCTCAGGTCCCTCACACCCTCCCCCTCCCCTTCTACTCATCTGAGCCGCCCATGCTCAAGTCCGATGTGGCCATGATGGGCGTAGAGGCTCATGCACAATTTTGCGAATTGGTTTGCCACCTTCTATGACTGGGTGCACGATTAACACAACCATCATCGACGCTGATCCCACCCAACTCTTCCTACAGGATCTACTTCAAGAATCTGCCTGCATACAAGGACGTCCTCTTCAGTGTTGAGGGGCCACCACTGTCACACACACTGTAAGCTTTATTTCTGGACACATATACACACGCCTCTATATGATCTCTTGGCGCGGGCCCACCCAGGGGATGGGCTGGGCAGGCATCTGCGCGGCTCGAGCGGCCTCTGCTAATCGCGGGGCCGGTCGGGACCACACTGAAGCACTTGGCCAACCGTAGATGGAGGAATCAAATCAATTGACGGCAGAGGAAGTAAGCGAAGGGAGGCGGACCTGTCAAGGGGAACGGCCCCAGCAGCGGGAGAAGACTGCAGCAGCGGCGGAGGGGACGCGGCCGGTCCGTCTGATGTACTCCACCTGGCGAGCGGTTCTCGAGGCCCGCCGGTTCCTGCGGGCCTCCGCCGCCGCCCGCCTCTCCTCGGCCTCGTGCCTCGCCGCCGCTAGCCTGGTCATGAGCCTCTCGTGTGCCGACGCCCTCAACCTCTCCACCTTCACCTGGAAGAAGCAGCAGAGGCTTAAAATTCATTCACCACCACCAATAAATGGTAAATAGCAGGGCAGCGAGTTAAGTTCGATCCACCCGTTTATATCTCATTATTCCTAATCTTTTCGTCGCTAAGTTCAGTTCTCGGAGAAAGCTGGATGTGACAGGAATGTGATTAGAATAGTGTGTTTCTTGGAACCTGGTTCGTATGAGTCGGGAGACCGCCTGGTGTCACATTAACATTGGAACCGGAATCAATCCAGTGGAAGCTGGGTTTTTTATTGGGGTTGACCAGAATCTAAGACGGGCATTCTACGGCTGAAAGTGGGAAATCTGATCTAGGGTAAGATGGAAAAAGAAAAAAAATATCATCTTTAAAAGTATATCTACGTCTTTGGCGAGATAAGTTCTTAAAAAAGCAAAGGAAAAGTTCCACTGGAACAGTACAGTATTGTAGATAGTATCATACAATAAGATATGAATCCGAATCTGTGAACTGGAAACCTAATCTGGGGTAAACGTAAAAAATAAAATATAATAGTCTTTAAAAGCACATATATTTTAATATATATTTGTTAAGATAAGTTCATGCAACAATACCTCTATTGGAACAGTATTCTAAGCAGAGTATCAAATTCTAAGATATGCAAGATATGCAGAACGCATCTCACATTAGAATACTAGAGCAGTAGTCTAAACAGAGTATCAAATTCCAAGATATGCAGAATGCATCTCATATCTGAATCCTGACTGGTTGACGGTTGGGGAAGGAGGGTATGTTGCCCGATGTCTTGTGGCTAAATTAAATCAAGCAGTCACCAGTTACTATAAAAAGTGGAGTTTGACTCATAATCCAGGTAGAGATGTCAAACCAGCATGCATTGGGCTTTTCAAAGTAGGTTGATTGAACACAAAGCAACCGCATCGGTGAGCATGATGCCCCAAAGGTGACGAGCAATACCTCGACTTTTCTTGTTTCAGCTTCCACCTTCGCTTTCTGATGATCTTCCCACGCTTGGATCTGAAACTCCTCGCGTTTGAACCTTAAAGAATCAACATTGCGTCTGAATCCTCGGGGGATGTAGACGGAAATGACAGAGTGAACCGGTCAAAGTATGATGATCTCATACTCTAGCTTACCTTGCTAGGTACTTGGCTTTCTCTGCTTCCTCCCAAGCGGCTGCACGGATCTCAATAATGCTTTGAACAGATTGTTCAACAGCTACAGATTTTATTCCATCCGACGTGGATCTGTCATCCGCCTCTCTGCTCGCCCACGCAGCAATATTGGGTTTTCCAAGTTGCGTCCCAAGAGCCATGATTTCCCTCCTGGTTTTCATTTGCAGTTCGTTATCAGACAACTCTTTGTTCTTGGAATTCTCCAGAGGATCAATTGGGTTAATGGGACTAGAGCAAGGTGCTGTTCTGCCCGGACTCGATGGTCTTGATAAAGTAGGACCCCGAATTGGGGTCGCATCTCTCGCGGGTGTTCCAGTCCTTGAAGGCTCTTGGCTTGCAGTGGGTGTCATCTCAGTGCCCGTATCTCTCATGGACACCGATCTGACAGTTGATGGAAGAGCTGTGAATGGAGCAGAACTTTGGATGAATGATGACGAATCTTGTTGACTCTGACCAACTGCCAGAATTTACATACAAAAATAAAAACGTACGCAATGTTATGCCAATTTTTTTGTGAAATTTTGAAAACCTTCATGTGAAATCTGAACTTAAATGAGATTTTTGGAGATTATCACCATTGAAAAATGGAACGGTGAGAAATCACAAATAATAGAAAATAAGGGGAAAACTTCCCATAAAATTATCCGCAAAACATTAATGTCAGTAATAAGTAAAGATGAAAAAAATGGCAAGGACGCACTCGGGCAGATTATAGTTTTATTTAAAATATATAAATTTCGAAGATAAAAAAATTAAAACCGCAATTTGACTTTTCATTCAGCGATTTTGTGCAGATGAGAGATATCCTGCAGCATTGCTTCTTGCAAAATTCGCATAGTGAGAGCAAGTAAACTCACACAAATCAGGCAGTCAAAAAGATCGTAATTAGACACTTCCACCCTCAATCCCCTCTTCCCTTTTGCATGCCATTTCGTAGGTAAATTGACGGTGAAATGAAGTATTTTCTGATATCCGTTTTGTACAAAATTTTAACGTTCCAATTGCTAATTACTTGATACTTTTTTTAAAAAAGTCATAAAATTGAGAGGATTTATGAATAATAAGAGGAGGGCTTAGGAGAAATAAAATGAAAATAATAGAAAAGTCCGAAGAAACATCATCAAGAAATGCACAAGGAAAATAATATAGAGATTCACCAGCTCACCAGCAGAATCAGCAAATGGATTCTCAAGGATAATGCTAGCCTTAGAATATGGATCTGCTGCAGGAAAAAGGTCAGGCGTCCAGTCCATGGTTCTCTGCATGGAAAGTTCCTTTTTAAATTGACCAGAATCAGTAGCTTTAGAGTCAGCCTCTTCTGAGAATTCCAGCAACTTGGCAGCAAATAGCCTGCTTCCATGGCCCATCGTTCCTCCACCAGTCTTCCTAAGCTGAGACCCTGTAACCTTAGTGGAGCGATTGGAAGTGGGGCTCGCTATCCATTTCTGGGCGTCATCCCACTTAGATGGCGCGGATTTGGAAAATAACGGCATGGAGGAACGATGCTGAGCTCGCTCCACCCTCTGGAACTCGAAGGCAGAAGCATTGTCAGGTCCGTGGAAGTCACCTTCGTGGGATCCAGGGGCTCTCACGTTGCCCAGGTTGAGGGCTTGTGACCGCTGATAATAGTATGCCGTATCCGCAGTCACGGTGGAGAAATCAGGGAGCGAGAAAAGCATGTCTACATCCTTGAAGGTCTCAGACGAACTCGCACCTGCAAATCTGATCCTCAACTTTCTCTCGAAAGCAGAGACATAAAGAGTCCCAAATCTAAGGCGATGAGATGAGAGGAGAAAGCCAGGGAATGTTCTTACTTGTGTCGTCAACCTCGGGATACTCGGATCTCAGAGAGCACCGGGAGTCGTGCTCTCCCTCTTCATTCCGCCTACCCTCCACTCCGAGGAGTACTCGACGCAACTTGCTCGGAGAGACGCCGCCACTCGCATCTTCCTACATGACATACAAAAAAAAAAAAAAAAAGAACCAGAGAAAGACAAGTCAAAAACTACATAAATCGAGCGGCCTAACAACGAGGGGCTCGAACTTCGCACCGCTCAAGAACATTCCATACTGAAGAATCAGATCGTCAGACCTCAGGCCTCTACCAAACCCCTCCCCCTCCCATCCACACAAAATTTACAATTGCCACGCCGTTTCCCAGCACAGGTAGTCGACAAATGGACAACAGAACAGTCGAATATCCAGGACACGATAGATAACTGCGGGAAAACTGAGTCAGATTTTCGCCGGTAGATCCCCCGGGAAATGTCGGCCTCGCGGACGAAGACGAGTGCAAGGACGAGGAGAAGAAACCGCACCACCGCCGCAAAACATCGTCCACGGAGGAAGATGAGAAAGGGGAAACGCAATCCCCACCTGAATGTTCGGCCTCTGCATCCTCTCGAAATCCATCTTACTCAATATTTCGGAGTCCGTCAACAACCTGCGCTGACGACCAGGTGGTGGATGAGGAAGAAGGGACGGAAGCCCTCAGCCACAGGTTCTCCTTCCGCTACTGTTGCTTCCACTGCCGCCGCCACTGCCACCGCCGCCGCAGCATTTCCGATGCCGTGAACCAGGAAGTGAAATCCGACTTCCTACTCGCTCCCCACCCCGCTTCCATCTCTACAGCCGTTTGTTTACCTGCGAAGTGACTGACGTACGCAGAAAGGAGATCCAGACACCGCGCGGGCCCCACACCCTCCAGCCCCCCGCCTTCGTACGCGCGCGTCTGCTTCGGCTCATGATTAATGGAACTCGCTTAAGCGTATATTTTATGGCTTTCTATCACATCAGCCCTCGCCGACTCCGCTAGTTATCCGAAAGTACTGAACAGCAATATAAAAAGAGAAGAGATGCTCCGGATAATTATAGAAATATACAGTTACTAAAAAAATAAAAACCACAAAATAAAATATTCTAAATTCCGAAATATCCGAGGATGATCTAAAATTCGCTAATATTAACGGGAATAGAAAATAGGAAGAGATATTTCTCGTAATTAGAGTCATTTACAGGGAATAAAATAATTAAATAAAAATAATTAATAATTTTAATCTTGAAGTATCCACGGGTGATCTGAATTTCGCCAGTAATAAATGAGAAAGTACTTGAAGGCAATTAAAAATGACAAGGCTTTCTCTGGGCAACTAGAATCATCTATGGGGACTAAAATAATAAAATCCAAATAGCAAAACATTCCATGTTCAGTGGTATATGCGGGTGAGTATTAAATCAGAAAGTACTCAATGGGAATAGAAAATGAGAAGAGACACTTTGGGTAATTAGAATCGTACACAAGGACTAAAATAATAAAATCCATATTACAAAATAGTCTAAATTCCGAACCCTACCTGGGCAACCTGAATTTTGCCAATATTAATAATAATAATAATAATAATAATAATAATAATAATAATAATAATAATAATATTAAATCAGGACGGCCCAATCTGCGCACCTTGATCTGAAGGTCGGAGACGCCACGTGGCGCGGCGGAGGAGCTCCCTCGGTTCGAGCATTTGACGGGGTGTTGTGGGGACCAAGAAGTGGGTCAGATTTTCACCACGAAGAAGATGGAAGTCAGTCATAGACGAAGGCAAAGAAGATGGAACCACTTGGGGCGTCTCACCTCTTTGACTGTGCCTCGTTCCCATCTGCCGCGTAAGGTCAGCGGGCACGTGGGCTGCGCCGGCAGGAACACGAGACCGACGGGGACAGAAGAGTAGGAGTGGAGGAGCAGTCGATGGAGAAGACGAACCCGGTGGGGACAGCTTCGAGTGGTCAGCCCACTTCAAGGGAGGAAAGGCGGAGGAGACAAGAAAGGGTTAGTTACCCTCAGTGAAGACAGGCGCTTGGATCAGATAACCATTGACTGGTGGCGCGCAAGTTGCTCCAAATCTGCAGAATAAATGGCCAGCATAGATACTTAGCTGGCCTGATGGCCAGATGGGAGTCAGTCGGTCTTCGATTGGGCCGGCAGCTGTTTTCTCAAGATCAGGGAGTGATTTTCGTTCAAGCCGGCCGTCCTATGTTTTTGGGCTGAAACTGCTCTGAAGGTCTTACAATGGCGTGATATCATATTTGTTTCCGGATAACTTCAAAACGTTCGGGAAACGATGAGGATGGGCCAGGTAAGCAGGGCTTGGGCCCACCATTTTTCCAACTCGGGCCCCGAAATCAAGCCCCGAATGGAAATGGGCACTCGTTTGGAAATTCGGGTTCAGGCCCACTCTTAAATGCGGAGGGTATCATCACTGAAAAAATCACGTCTTTGATAAGGACTGGATGAACTCTTGAGAGTGGGTAAAATTGGAATAAAAACTCTGCTGCGTGAGATTAAAATATTTCATATTGTATAATTCCGTGTATTTTTTATAATTTATTATTTAATGTTTAAAATGGAGCATGCAGGAATAACACTGAAGGCCTGACAAATGGCCATAGACTAGCTCATTTCCACGAACACTAGGTTGACTCTCACCGGGGAAGAAAAGAGGCCTGGGATGGCATGGAAGACATGAAAGCCTGCAGATACGTAGAACGCTGAAAAACTGCTTGTTTCACTAACACGAGAACCGCATCACATGGTGGAGTATTTCTCACATAATCCAACAGTGAGACCGCATATACTTATGACAAGTGTATTCACTATAATACGGATGAATAACCATATATTTACATTCAAGAGGGATGAAGAACCTCTAACCTTCCTAAATTTCGGAAGAAGGATGGCATCTTATATTCACTGATTATTTGCACAGTCTATCAAGGAGAGAGGAGGAGGATCACTCATTTTCCTTTATTTAGTCCAGATGGAAGAGATGAGACAGACAGGAATGCACTGATATTCCACGTTGCCTTTACCTGTCCCCCAGACTATCTGATGAATAATTTAATCCGCAGTCAAGGAGAACAGCCACAGCATGATACAGACCAGATACGATGGCGAGAACTAGTGAGCAACAGATTAACGGAGGCTTACCACTGTTCTGAATAAACTCTAAGCCCGAGGGCATGGATGGGCTGCACATGAGCCTGGAATAGATTCCACCCAGAGAATACATTTACAGCACCAGAAAGCCAGACACTCGCAGATATGGACCAGGTACTGGAACAAGACGGACAAGAAGAACAATTCGGAGATAATATATCTCTGCCGATAATAGTACAAATAGCTATATGTTGCGCAGAATGCAAGACCAGACAAAATCTAACAGGATGAATTGAAGAGCATGAGTCAGGTAGACATTCCCAGGCCGGTACAATAATGGAGGGGAAAAGATCAGCATTACTAGGGTTTTTGTTTCCCGTAGAAGCACAAGGGAAGACACGAAGGCATCAACAAAACAGCCATTTCATAGGCACAGCAGAATCCTTTGTGCCGTGTGCGCCGGCCACAGCAGGACGTGAGGTTCCGAAGTCGGGGCGCCTCGCCCTGCAAGGCGATTATGGTAACATTCTCCCCCTCCTTCAAACTTCGATGACCTCGTCGTATGTTGGCGTGTATATCATCAGCTTACTCCATGTAGTGGGCCTGCACCATAGGTGGTGGACGCCTTAGATGATTCCTTTCTTGGTCCTCTTAATCCGCATGGTAAGGCTTTAGCAACAAAATATGGAAAACCGGATGCACCCAACTTTCTTAGGCAATTGGAAATGTAGGCGAGCCACCCAATTTTCGCCACTATTTTAAATGGTGTCATAATAGAGAACCAGTCTATTTCGACTTTTTTGTTGATGGAAGCTCTTGTGCACGGGGGTATGTCTGAAACAACACCCAATTGTCAACGACATATTATACTTCCCTCTAATTTCAGTTGTCATTTTTTTTCATATGACAAGCTGACGCAGCGAAACTTGAGAAGGGAATGACTTGAACTAGTTGTGGTCAACTCTAGTGTTGTAGAGGTTGAAGACACGTATTGAATCCTCAAAAAATGTACTATAGTGGTTGTCCCTTTGCTCTGAACCCACAAGTTGAGGAGGACATGTCTCTTGAGTCCATAAGGGGTTGATTATGAACCCACAAAATCAAGAACACGATTCCTTGAATCCACAAGGGTGTTGGAGTCCACCAATAGAAGAAGAGAACTTCAAGAGAAGAAACTCATGAAATTATCTTGACAGAAAGTAATATGCCTCTAGGTCTACATGGGGTGCTTTTAAATAGGCTAAAGAGTCTCGATTTGATGCCAAGATTTGAATTTCAAATAAAATCAAAATTTAAAATCAAATTTTGAATGAAATTTGAGTTTCAAAAATAAATTCTAAAATGAGAAATAAAATTGAAATTTCAAATGAAAATTTAAATTTTAGATGAAGTTTGAATTTAAAATGAAAATTTGAATTTTGGATTTAATCTGAATTTTAGATGAAAATTTGAGTTTTGAATTTGAATTTGAATTTCAGATGAAATGAAAAATAATGAAAATAGATATATTGGCCTAATTTCTTAATTGGGCTAGCTAACAAAAATGAGCTTCAAGTTGCAATAGTAATAGACTTCTATGTGCATCAATAGTGGGCTTCATGCTTTTTCAATAATGGGCTTCAGGTTTTGGGTTACATTAGTCTCTCCTTCTTGAAAAGGACTTGTCTTAGAGTCTTTAACTTGCTCTAGATAATACTCATAGATATCCATAATATTGAATGTAGATGAGATTCTTATTGTCCTTCATAAGTAAATGACATGCATTATCATTAATCTTTTGAAGGACTTTAAATAGACCATACTTTGTGGACAGAGTTTGTGATAATTTTCTATTGATAATCATTCTTTTCTCAAGTATATTATAACCAAATCACTAACTTCAAAGATTTTTCTTTTTTTTTATCTACCATTTCCTTGTAGTTTGAATAATTGATTGTAAAATGCTTCTCCACATTTTTCATATATTGTTTGGATGTATTCTATCATATTATTTGCAGCTACATTAGTACCAAGTTTTTTTGGTACTTCAATAAAGTCAAGAGAGAATTTTGGTGGAAAACAATAGACAATAGAAAATAGAGAGTAATTTGTAGACCGATTTATCATAAAATTGTATGCAAATTCTATTTGAATTAAGGCAATATTATATTGTCTTGATTTGTCTCTTGAAAGACAACAAATTAAATTATCAAGTATCATTTTAACCTTTTATGTTTGACCATCAATTTGTAGATGACTCATAGTACTAAATTTGAGTATGTGTTAGATGTAATAATCTTAAGCATTCCATGCAAATGAATTATTTCCTTGAAAAAAAAAAATACTATTTGAATGGCATCATTAGTCTTTTTACATGCAATAAAATGAGTCATATTTGAAAGTCTATCCACAATCACAAAAATAGAATCTGTTACTCTTTGAATACATGATAATCCTAAAATAAAATCTATAAAAATGTCAATTCATACTTTATTTAGAA